CTCTTTATCATTGTTACATGAGCCATAATTCGATTCATTTTCATATCAGCATTTAAAATTGGAACATTTTGTCTTATGATATGAAAAAGTTCCGGATTCTTGGGGTTGTGCGTTGAAACATAGGCCAGATTGACAGTGTTATTTATTTGTTTATCACGAACTTTCAACAGTGTCCTTCTGTCTATGTTTATTGCTTTCTTTATTCCATCTTCCACAAGAAGAACTGGGTATCCACGGGACTGTAGATATGATTTTAGTTCTGCAAGTCGTATGTTCCTTGTCGGTATTTGTGACACAATCATGCAGATACGTCTTGCTAAGTTATAGGGAATGCTTCTCTTTATATGACTCGGGTGGCAAGATGAAAAATGAAGGTATTGTTTAGTATCTGTAGGTTTATAATATATATCTGTTTCTAGATTACGTCCACATAGTTTTACCATGATGTCCAAAAATGGAATTTCAGAATAATTTGAGTCCATGGTGAAATGTAAATGTTTGTTCAATTTATTTAGGATGTTATAAAACAGAGTTAATTTTTCATCTCCAAAGGGCCATAACATGAAGCAATCGTCAAGAAAACGTCGCCAATTTGTTCTAAAGTATTCAGCGACTTCAGGTCCTAACTGTTCTTTCACTTTCGTTTCCAGAGTTTGTTCCAAATAACCTAAAACTAACGTAGCATACGTGGGTGCCATTTTGAAAAGCTGAAAAGCGGATTTTGAACAAAGGACTTAAATTTACACCGACTCCAAATAGTAATAATGTGAATGAACTTCAAAGTGATATCAATAAGTTTTGTCGGAAATTAAGGAATATTGAGTATTTTGATGATTCTTACACAGGAGAGGATATATCACTCGTTAAAAACAAAAGTTATTGGATTCCAAAGAAAGGTAGGAATTCACATCTAGATAAATACATTGATTCTATATCTAATGTCCCTTTATTACCACAAAAATGTTCAAATAAGTCTAACATTTCCAATTCAGAACGGATTGCACTTAAAGATATTCTTAATGATAAAAACATCATTATCAAAGAGGCCGACAAAGGTGGGGCTGTTGTCATTATGGACGTTAAACATTACAGGAAAATGTCTTTGGAAATAATTAATGATCAGGAAAATTACAAGGTTATAAACAATGCCAATGTTCATAAAAAACTTACAGATTTTCTAACTACATTTTCAAACGAAACAACTAAAAAGGAGTTAGATTACCTAACAAATTTCGTTTGCAAAGAAAGCAACTTTTATGGATTACCCAAAGTGCACAAGTGTCGGGATATTAAAGATAAATGTGAAAATGCTACTGATAGCTATATTGAAACAGAACACCCTAATGATTTGACACTTAGGCCGATAATTGCAGGACCTAGTTGTGCTACACATCGGTTGAGTAATTTTATTGACATAGTGCTTAAACCTTTTATTACCAAAGTGCACAGTTATACTAGAGATACGATGGATTTCCTAAACTATTTACCTCAACAAACTCAAGAAAAAAACCAAACTAGTTACGTTTGATGTAAAAAAATTTATACTCTAATATTCCACACAATTTAGGGATTGAAGCTATATCATTCTGGTTACACGAATATCCAGCATTACTCCCAACACGATTCTCCAAGGAATTCGTCATAGAAAGTGTTACATTCATATTGAATAATAATACATTCAATTTTGATGGGGAACATTATAGACAAATGAAGGGTACAGCAATGGGAACCAAAATGGCACCCACGTATGCTACGTTAGTTTTAGGGTATTTGGAACGAACTCTGGAAACCAAAGTGAAAGAACAGTTAGGACCTGAAGTCGCTGAATACTTTAGAACAAATTGGCGACGTTTTCTTGACGATTGCTTCATGTTATGGCCCTTTGGATGAAAAATTAACTCTGTTTTATAACATCCTAAATAAATTGAACAAACATTTACATTTTACCATGGACTCAAATTATTCTGAAATTCCATTTTGGACATCATGGTAAAACTATGTGGACGTAATCTAGAAACAGATATATATTATAAACCTACAGATACTAAACAATACCTTCATTTTTCATCTTGCCACCCGAGTCATATAAAGAGAAGCATTCCCTATAACTTAGCAAGACGTATCTGCATGATTGTGTCACAAATACCGACAAGGAACATACGACTTGCAGAACTAAAATCATATCTACAGTCCCGTGGATACCCAGTTCTTCTTGTGGAAGATGGAATAAAGAAAGCAATAAACATAGACAGAAGGACACTGTTGAAAGTTCGTGATAAACAAATAAATAACACTGTCAATCTGGCCTATGTTTCAACGCACAACCCCAAGAATCCGGAACTTTTTCATATCATAAGACAAAATGTTCCAATTTTAAATGCTGATATGAAAATGAATCGAATTATGGCTCATGTAACAATGATAAAGAGTAAACGCCAAAGCCGTAACTTAAAACACATATTGACACGTGCCACATTCGACTCATGTATTAAACCTACAGAATTCAGTGTCTCAAAATGTAAACGGGGAAATTGTGGAACTTGTGAATATATACTTGAAACTTCATGTATAAAGTTCAAAAACAGGAAACAATTATTTCATGTACGCTCTAACATGGACTGCTCCGCAAAACATATTATTTATGTTATTATATGCCAAGGGTGTCATGAAGAATACATTGGACAAACGGAGTGCTTGAGGGACAGAATGCGCGTCCATAAACAACAGATTAAGGACCCCAAAACAAGGTGCATCCCCTTAAGCGCTCACATTGACAATTGCGCAGCAGGAAAGGAAATAAAATTTAAAATATTCCCTTTCTATAAAATGAATACTGCTGACGCCATGCAGCGTAAAGCTAAAGAAAACTTTTCATCAAAGAATTGTGTCCATCGTTAAATAGGTAACGCAATGTGTCTGAATTATACTTGTTTTCATTGTGCTACTAGTACTGTCAATATAAAGCCGCCAATGTGACGTCATGGCAACGCCGCGTCACAACATTTGTATACAGTTGCATTGTGACGTCATGACAAATTGACGTCATAACATAATCCGTTTAACTGTAATCACTTCTCCCTGAAGATAAAAGTGAAACATGTTGGAGAAGATCCGTGTTGTGTAATTATTTCAGAAACTTCTTCTTATATATGTACTACTGTACGCTCGGTATTCTCATCACTTTCTTTATATATATATATATATTCAACCACCGACAACTGAAACCTTCATCTGACTGTTGTCATCGGACAATATCCATATTTTAAACAATGAGTAAATATCTTTCACTAGTTAGGTCAGTATAAGGAATAAATAGATATAACATTAACAAGAAGACAAAGTCATCAGTATCCCCCTCAATGTCAAAATACTCTTCATGATTATGTCTACGAGTTAGGATTATGTCAAATATTTAGGGGTGTACATAGAAAAGTGGAAGGAGAGTATTGAAAGGTGTTTAAAGTTCTGCTCCAGAAAGGAACACTATGACCCATTTCAGTCTATGTCAAACTTGTTGCAATGGAAATGCCAAAAATATTTTATTCAGAAATCCAAAACTACCAAAAGGCACCAGTACACCACCAGATCTATCTATGTGCCAAGTTTGATGAAGAAATATTGAACGGTTTTAGAGTTCTGCTCCGGAAAAGACAAATGTGCACGGACGGACGGACGCACGCACGGACGGAGTCCATTTTAATACACACACCCCCACACCTCCCGGAAAAAAACGTGTTGCGGGGGATAATTAATAGTAAACTATACTCAGCTTTACTCAATATTTATTTACTTTTGCCAAATGTATATTATAAGCCTTGGGCCTAAATTACCGAATAAACCTGTCTGTCTGACATATAACATTATTATGCATATTGGGTGCTTGGATATAGGTTCTCATGCTTCTTTTGCATTTTTACATACAGTTTTACGTGATTAATGGCAGTATTAGTATCATTTGCTTTGGGACTAGACAGGAGACCAGTTTAAATCAATTGGCACCAATTACGTCATAATCAAGGGGCGGTTAACTCTGGCCTGTTTGGCTCAACAAACAAATGTCTCATAATGGCATAACATTTCAGCACATATATTGGGGGGGGTTATTCTTTCATTTTAAGAAAAATGAATGTGTATTTTTAAGCATTGATATTAATCAATTAAAAGAACCCATTTGGTTTCACACAAGAAAAATAGTGATTTTTTCGTGTACACTTCCACTTTAAACACACCAATATTCATGAAGCATTCTTGAAATTCCAGGACCACGGGTTCCTGAAATCCATCTACAGATGGGACATTTGACTTGTTTGCAATACCTATCACTAGTGCTCAGGAGTTTTTTCCCTGATTTGTAAATTGAAATAAAGCTTTATGTTAGGTCCTATAGAGATTAGTGGTGGTCCGATTAATTGAAATAATCAAAGATTGGTCGCAGTGACGTGACCAAACGACCAAGCAATCGATCACATTTTCTCATTATCGAACACAAACGATTTTGGAACTGCTGTAATAGAGTTTGAAATACTTGATGATGGAACATGTAGGACGTTGTCAGGGCCTGAAAACCTGTTTATTTCTAAGAAAACTCACTTCACTTTCTGAAAAGTCATGACTGAATATTTCTTGAAGAATCTGGCAAGTTAATGTTACACTGGAACTGAATCATTTTACACTGGGTGTGAAGTCTGCAAATGTAATTTGTGCAGTTTCTCAAAAAAACCAACAGAGAACCAAATGTTTTTTGTTTATACTTGTCTGCAACTACAACCTGAATAGGAAAATCTAAAAAATGCCGCAAACCGATTTTTTTCGATTTTTTGGTTGTTGGTATTGAACCAATCATCAATTGTGAGATTTCAATAAATTCCCAACACTAGTAGAGATATGGCCTCTGATGCAATAAACACATAATGCTTCTTGATTAAGAAGCAACAATTATGTCAATGTAATTTTATTAGTAAAAGCTTTGAACTGTGAAACATCTTGGACAGAGACGAAGACATCATCACATTTTTTATACATGGCTAAAGTAATTACAGTTACCTCCTGAAATATACGTTACATTGGACAATGTGTATTGGTTGTCATCAAGAAAGTTTTCTTTAAGATGGCTGTCAGGCAATGTTCTTTCTGCAGATAGGATTAAAAACAACATTGGACTAAAATGTTTCTTGGGACATTTCTATTACCAACATGAGCGACTTGGGTCTGCCGAACACTGGAGCACTATGTTAAAACATTCCCACACAAATCTTGTGGTTCAGCCATTGGTACCAGTACGGACCACTTTTAATGGATGAGATTCTCTATGTGGTCAACTTCTACTCTTTCTTCTTGTCCCATTTCACTCAAGACAGCAAGCCAGTGCTGAGAGATGTTTTGAACATACACACATCAAAATAACATTGGAAGTATCACTGACACAATATGTACATACATTATAAACATCAGATACGTTAATATATATATATAACTTATATTTACAAATAACCATTGGTTTGGCAAACTGTTCAGTCTTGATTGTTCCCTTACTCGTGAGTGTTGGTTTAGATTCCCTGGTCTACAAGTGCCCACAATATTTCAGCAAGGTTACCAGATAAGGTCTCACCAACTGCACCACAGTGAGGACAGAACATGGGTGAAAGGCAACTGTAACAGCTTGTCTAGGATATATTTCGTAGATGGCTAAGAGGCAACAGTTCTTCTTTCTGAAAGGAAAGGGAAGAGAAGAGCAAGGAAAGAAGAGCAGAGGAATATGAGAGGAAGAAAGGGGAGGAATGTAAAGCAAATGTTGTTTCAAGGAATAATAAGAAAATGGTTTCTGGTACATAATCATATTAAGGCATGGCAAACCTTGTGGATGAAATAATGAGCATTGTGTTCACACGCAGGTAAATATGAAGCACAATCGTCCAACTCCACATCCATATTTTTTCAGAAAATCCAGTTGAAGTACAACTTGTTAAATCTATATTTTTACCCAAGTAAGTAACTTATTTGTCAAGGATTTCCAACAAGGTGTTTGTAATGTCCAAAAAATGTCTTGTACCTGTCTGTCTACCCCCATCCAACACATATATTATATTTCCCTGACATTTTGCACAATCATGTCAATGTGTCACAACACTGCACCAGACATCCAACACAATTGTCCTTTGATTTTCTGAGTTGATTGGATTCTCACCATCTTGCCCAGTGACGGGAGTCATGTCACCTGAAGAAAACAAAGCAAAAATATTGCTGTAAACAGAGATAGGGCTCCAAGCAAAACATCTCTTTGACAAGTATGTTGACAAGTTTTTTTATGGATACACAACTTCTTTATTCTGTATAGGCGACATACATTCTAATGTCGTTGTCAAGCAATTCTAAATCAAAACGTCGCCAATACAGAATAAAGAAGTTGTATATCCGTAAAAGATTGTCCTCATTCTTCATCCACTCAACTTCAAGTATGCCAATCATTGAAATCTCTTTGACAGTTTGAAATTCCAGGAGACCCACTCAAATTGTCCTCAAATGCAATATAGTCACTATTCCTGACTGACAGTATGATGTCAGCCAATAAGGAGGCAGATCAGAATATCTTGCTCGACTGATATCACAGCATGCCATACACAAAGTGGTTCCAGCAGCAATTGCAACAAGACTCATCAGAAGATGATATATCCCCCCGGCCCCCACATTATTTGAAAGAACAAATTATCTGACAGTTACTTAAAGTCCAGCTTGATTTTTTTTAAACTAAGTCCAAATCGTTTCCATGGAAATTATGAGAAATATGAATGGCAAAAACCTGTAAATAGCAAAAGGCACCATTTCAAACTTTGCCTAATATATCTGCCAAGTTCTATTAAAAGATACTGAAGGCTTTTCGGGTTGAGCATCGGAAATGAAGCCCACCCCTCCATTTTGGGACTAAGTCCTAACCATTTCCATGGAAACCAGGAAAAATAAATGTGCCAAAAATCTGCCATATAGCAAAAGGCACCACTTTGGCATCTGCCTCACATATCTGCCAAGTCTTGCTGAAAGATATTAAGAAGTTTTCCAGTTGTGCCCCAGAAACGAAACTCACCCCTCCCTTTTGAGACTAAGTGCGAATCGTTTCCATGGAAACCCCCAAAATATAAATGACAAATATCTGTAAATAGCAAAAGGCACTACTTCAAGATCTGTCTCATATATCTGCCAAGTTTTGATGAAAGATATTAAGAAGTTTTCGAGTTGTGCTCCGGAAACGAAGCCCTACCATCCGTTTTGGGACTAAGTCCGAAATCGTTTCCATGGAAACTGGGAAAAATTAAAATGCCAAAAATCTGCAAATAGCAAAAGGCACCACTTAAGGTTCTGTTTGATATATCTACCAATTTTTGTTGAAAAATATTGAACGGTCCTTGAGTTATGCTCCGGAAAGAAGCCCACCCCTCCCTTTTGGCACTAAGTCCAAAACGTTTCCATGGAAAGCGAGAAAAATAAAAATGACTAAAATCTGTAAATAGCAAAAGGCACCACCTTAGGTTCTGTTTGATATATCTACCAATTTTTGTTGAAAACTATTGAACGGTTTTTGAGTTATGCTCTGGAAACAAAATGATAACAGATGGACGGACGAACCGACGGACAGACGGATGAGGCGGATGTCGACTATATCCCCCCGCATTACATGCCGGGGGGATAATAAAGAAGTAGTCAATCCATAATACTACAGCATATTTGTTCCCTTAACCTAGATATTCATATAACTTGAAAATGCAGGTATTGTTAATCGAGCAACTCAAGCATTTTTATTATACTCGATGGTTACATGAGTCATTAAACAAGAGGAACATACAATTGACTGGCTGTACAAATGATGGCATATGAACCATTTGAGGATGTTCCTGAGGAACCAACACAATAATGTGATACAGATGCCATCTCTGGTGTGATCAGCAAAACTGCCTACCTAACAATGGCTGGTGCATGTGGCAAGTCGATACCATCATTAACCCCTCTCTCATATTCATCAACGTCAGCGAGGTCTTCATCCAGCGAGGAGGAAAGTTGTTGCAGCAGCACATCCAGGGCCTGACAACATGTGTTTATCACTATGAGTGAGTGAGTGAATGAGTGAGGGAGGGAGGGAGGGAAGGAGGGAGGGAGGTCCAAGCAACAAATATGCTTGAAAGTTGGTAAGTACTTCAGGTGGCATTCCAGCAAAAGAAACAGGTCTTCTGATGACCTTTGACACACAAAGAAATAAAATTCACAAATCATAACTGGGTGACAGAGCATGCTGACCCTGAGCCAAGATGTCCATATTTTACTCCTTAAAGCAGAGACACTTTGCAGGGTATCAACAGGTACACTTTACAACTCATCTAAAAACACTAAACACTAATTGTCATGCTTGCATAATCAATGTGCGTCACAGGGACGTGATAAATCTTGTAATCTCCAGGGGGAAAAAAACCCCCAAACTATCAAGTTTTTCATAATAAGAGTAAACACACACATATTTTTGAGTGACAAGTTGTCTAAGATGTGTTCAATATGAAGCATTTTTGCAGAAGGTGACAGTACTGTTTCCAAATATCCTTGATCATAACAATTACTAACTTATCAACTAAAAAAGTTCACTTGAGGTGGTGTGTGATCTGAAAAAAATGTTGTGGTCCAAAGAAAACTTGTCTGATTCTTCTTTCCTCAGATGTCTGTTTTTGTAATCAATCTTAACACCTCCCATTAACACCAACAATCAAATGGTAGATCCCTCATGTTTAAGTCTATATTCAGCCAAAGTACAGGACCTACAAGTGAGTAGCAATTTTCCAGCAATATCGCGGCGAGGGACACCAGAAATGGGCTTCACACATTGTAGTCATGTGGGGAATCAACCCCGTGTCTTCGGCGTGATGAGCCAACGCTTTGACCATTTGCCGACCCCACTGCCCCACAGGACCTACAGTTTGGACTTAACAAACCAGTGATCAAAAGCATGAGCAAAGATGGGAATATTGACAGACAATCACCAGATTCAGTCTATGTTGGCTCTTCAGATGAAGGACCTCAGGGAGTGAGAGAGTGAGTTTAGTTTTATGCCGCTTTTAGCAATATTCCAGCAATATCACGGCGGGGGACACCAGAAATGGGCTTACCGCATCGTACCCATGTGGGGAATCGAACCCTGGTCTTCAGCGAGCGCTTTAACCACTACGCTACCCCATCGCCTGCTTTGACCTCAGAGTTCAAATGACTGAAGGCACTCACCACATCTGTTACCACCTTTTCATGCAGTTTACGGAGGGGCTTGCACTGAATTGTCTTGTCGCGATTTGTTTTCACTCCAAAATACTGCCGAAGTAAGATGTTGCCCATCATTTCTGAAACAATAAGTAACTGTTGCATCAGTCCTACACCTATCACTGGTATTTGAAAAACAGGATCTTTTCTTAGTCAGTACATCATCCTAAAAAAGCATCTACGTCATGAATGTTACTATTTCCTGAAGGATACTGAAGAGGTGACATCAGTGAATTAAATATTCACATTTATTTTCCTTTCTTAGGCCAGACCAATTTTTTTCTTGTTTACGGATCTGCCGGTCGTATTTTTCAAGAATAAGAAAAAAAATAAAATTCATTTTCCCCAGCTCAAAAAATCAAATCCTTATGTTTTTATTGGCCAAAAATGTAAACTTACAAGAAAACATTTTTGGGATTGTTTTTTTACCCCATATACACTTCATAAATTGCCGGAAGCAAAATACTTTTAATATTTAGAAGGAATATTACTTTAACTGGTGATTTTATTTTATTTTTATTTTTTTCCCCTCCTGCCCTTAGGTTTTCTGAGGACAAATAAAACAAAAACAAGAAATAAAATTGGTCTGGCCTTATTTTCATTAGTTCAGCTGGTAATGAGGTAGAAAGAGGATGAAATATAAATACAGCAAAAAGAGTCTATGCTATGACTCTTACCATCAACAAATCTGTTGGCGAAGTCACTCTCAGTCCAGACTTTGCCTTGTCGAGAAATGAGAGTCAAGAGGTAGTCCAGACACAGAGACTCCACCAGCCTGTCGCCAGCTTTCTCCTTCACCTACACACACAGACACAGATATGAGACACCTGGAGAATGTCCAGACACAGAGACTCCACCAGCCTGTCACCAGCCTTCTCCTTCACCTACACACACAGACACAGATATGATATACCTGGAGAATGTCCAGACACAGAGACTCCACCAGCCTGTCACCAGCTTTCTCCTTCACCTACACACACAGACACAGATATGAGACACCTGGAGAATGTCCAGACACAGAGACTCCACCAGCCTGTCGCCAGCTTTCTCCTTCACCTACACACACAGACACAGATATGAGACACCTGGAGAATGTCCAGACACAGAGACTCCACCAGCCTGTCACCAGCTTTCTCCTTCACCTACACACACAGACACAGATATGAGACACCTGGAGAATGTCCAGACACAGAGACTCCACCAGCCTGTCGCCAGCTTTCTCCTTCACCTACACACACAGACACAGATATGAGACACCTGGAGAATGTCCAGACACAGAGACTCCACCAGCCTGTCACCAGCTTTCTCCTTCACCTACACACACAGACACAGATATGAGACACCTGGAGAATGTCCAGACACAGAGACTCCAGACCAGCCTGTGAGCCAGCTTTCTCCTTCACCTACACACACAGACACAGATATGAGACACCTGGAGAATGTCCAGACACAGGAGACTCCACCAGCCTGTCCAGCTTTCTCCTTCACCTACACACAGAGACACAGAATGAGACACCTGGAGAATGTCCACATAAGACACCTGGAGGGCATATCACAGACATGAGACACCTGGAGAATGTCACCATGAGACACCTGGAGAATGTCCAGATTTTCTCAGACTCAGAGACATGGAGAATACCCGAGACACAGACATGAGACACCTGGAGAATGTCTACACTCACACAGACATACTTGAGACACCTGGAGAATGTCCAGCCAGACACCTACACTCGAACACAGACATGAGACACTGGAGACACACAGACATGAGACACCTGGAGAATGTCTAGACACAGACATGAGACACCTGGAGAATGTCACAGACAGACACAGGAGAATGTCCAGACACAGACATGAGACACCTGGAGAATCTCACAGAGACACAGACATGAGACACCTGGCAAGACATGAGACACCTGGAGAACCTACAGACATGAGAGACACCTGGAGAATGTCTAGACACAGACATGGAGGAGAATCTCCAGACACAGACATGAGACACCTGGAGAATGTCCAGACACACTTATGAGACACCTGAGAATCTCTCAGACACAGACATAAGACACCTGGAGAATGTCTACACTCCAACACAGACATGAGACACCTGGAGAATGTCCAGACACAGACATGAGAACCTGGAGAATCTCCAGACACAGACATGAGACACCTGGAGAATGTCCAGACACAGACATGAGACACCTGGAGAATGTCAGACACAGAGACACAGACATGAGACACCTGGAGAATGTCCAGACACAGACATGAGACACCTGGAGAATGTCCAGACACAACTTACTTTCATGAGACACACCTGGAGAATCACAGACACAGACATGAGACACCTGGAGAATGTCCACAGAGACATGAGACACCTGGAGAATGTCTGAGACACAGACATGAGACACCCTGGAGAATGTCCACTCAGACACAGACATGAGACACCTGGAGAATGTCTCCACCTGGAGAATCTACCAGACACAGACATGAGACACCTGGAGAATGTCAGACACACAGACATGACACCTGGAGAATGTCATGAGACACCTGGAGAATGTCCAGACACAGACATGAGACACCTGGAGAATGTCCAGACACAGACATGAGACACCTGGAGAATCTCCAGACACAGACATGAGACACCTGGAGAATGTCTACACTCAGGCTCCAGAGACACAGACATGAGACACCTGGAGAATGTCCACACACACAGACACAGACATGAGACACCTGGAGAATGTCTACACACAGACATGAGACAGGAGAATATCCAGACACTGGAGAATGTCCAGACACAGACATGAGACACCTGGAGAATCTCCAGACACAGACATGAGACACCTGGAGAATGTCTAGACACCTGGAGAATATCAAGACAGAGACACTGGAGAATGTCTAGAGACACAGACATGAGAGGAGAATGTCCAGACAGACATGAGACATGAGAATGTCCAGACACCTGAGGGAATGTCCAGACACAGACATGAGACACCTGGAGAATGTCCAGACACAGACATGAGACACCTGGAGAATGTCCACCACACAGACATGAGACACACCTGGAGAATGTCCACAGACACAGACATGAGACACCTGGAGAATGTCTAGACTCAGACACAGACATGAGACACCTGGAGAATGTCTACAGACACAGACATGAGACACCTGGAGAATGTCCAGACACAGACATGAGACACCTGGAGAATGTCTAGACTCAGACATGAGACACCTGGAGAAGAGTACACCAGACACAGACACACCTGGAGAATGTCAGACACAGACATGAGACACCTGGAGAATGTCCAGACACAGACATGAGACACCTGGAGAATGTCTACAGACACACAGACATGAGACACCTGGAGAATGTCTACCTGAGAATCAGACATGAGACACCTGGAGAATATCCACACACAGACATGAGACACCTGGAGAATGTCTAGACTGACACAGACATGAGACACCTGGAGAATGTCTGCAGAGACACAGACATGAGACACCTGGAGAATGTCCAGACACAGACATGAGACACCTGGAGAATGTCCACACTCACAGACATGAGACACCTGGAGAATGTCCAGACACAGACATGAGACACCTGGAGAATGTCTAGACACAGACATATGAGACACCTGGAGAATGTCCACACTCAGACACAGACATGAGACACCTGGAGAATGTCCAGACACAGACATGAGACACCTGGAGAATATCCAGACACAGACATGAGACACCTGGAGAATGTCCACACAGACATGAGACACCTGGAGAATGTCCAGAGGTACACAGACATGAGACACCTGGAGAATGTCCAGACACAGACATGAGACACCTGGAGAATGTCCACACACAGACATGAGACACCTGGAGAATGTCCAGACACAGACATGAGACACCTGGAGGAATGACAGACATGAGACACCTGGAGAATGTCCAGACACAGACATGAGACACCTGAGAATGTCCAGACCTGGGAGAATGTCCAGACACAGACATGAGACACCTGGAGAATGTCCAGACACAGACATGAGACACCTGGAGAATGTCCACACACAGACATGAGACACCTGGAGAATGTCCAGACACAGACATGAGACACCTGGAGAATGTCCAGACACAGACATGAGACACCTGGAGAATGTCCAGACACAGACATGAGACACCTGGAGAATGTCTAGACTCAGACATGAGACACCTGGAGAATCTCCAGACACAGACATGAGACACCTGGAGAATGTCTGGACACAGACATGAGACACCTGGAGAATCTCACTCAGACACAGACATGAGACACCTGGAGAATGTCTGGACCTGGAGACATGAGACACCTGGAGAATGTCTCAGACACAGACATGAGACACCTGGAGAATGTCTACACTCAGACACAGACATGAGACACCTGGAGAATGTCCAGACACAGACATAGACAGACACCTGGAGAATGTCCATACACAGACATGAGACACCTGGAGAATGTCTAGACACAGACATGAGACACCTGGAGAATGTCTAGACACAGACACAGACATGAGACACCTGGAGAATCTCCAGACACAGACATGAGACACCTGGAGAATGTCCAGACACAGACATGAGACACCTGGAGAATGTCCACACAGACATGAGACACAGACATGAGACACCTGGAGAATGTCCACACACAGACATGAGACACCTGGAGAATGTCCAGACACAGACATGAGACACCTGGAGAATGTCCAGACACAGACATGAGACACCTGGAGAATGTCCAGACACAGACATGAGACACCTGGAGAATGTCCAGACACAGACATGAGACACCTGGAGAATGTCCAGACACAGACATGAGACACCTGGAGAATGTCCAGACACAGACATGAGACACCTGGAGAATGTCCAGACACAGACATGAGACACCTGGAGAATGTCTAGACACACAGACATGAGACACCTGGAGAATGTCTGAGACACAGACATGAGACACCTGGAGAATGTCCAGACACAGACACAGACATGAGACACCTGGAGAATGTCCAGACACAGAGACATGAGACACCTGGAGAATGTCCAGACACAGACATGAGACACCTGGAGAATCTCCACACACAGACATGAGACACAGACATGAGACACCTGGAGAATATCTACACTCAGACACAGACATGAGACACCTGGAGAATGTCCAGACACACAGACAGGAGACACCTGGAGAATGTCCAGACACAGACATGAGACACCTGGAGAATGTCCAGACACAGACATGAGACACCTGGAGAATGTCCAGACACAGACATGAGACACCTGGAGAATGTCTAGACACAGACATGAGACACCTGGAGAATGTCCAGACACAGACATGGGACACCTGGAGAATGTCCAGACACAGACATGAGACACCTGGAGAATGTCCAGACACAGACATGAGACACCTGGAGAATGTCCACACACAGACATGAGACACCTGGAGAATGTCCAGACACAGACATGAGACACCTGGAGAATGTCTACACTCAGACACAGACATGAGACACTGGAGAATGTCCACACACAGACATGAGACACCTGGAGAATCTCCAGACACAGACATGAGACACCTGGAGAATGTCTAGACACAGACATGAGACACCTGGAGAATGTCTACACTCAGACACAGACATGAGACACCTGGAGAATGTCCAGACACAGACATGAGACACCTGGAGAATGTCCAGACACAGACATGAGACACCTGGAGAATGTCCAGACACAGACATGAGACACCTGGAGAATGTCCAGACACAGACATGAGACACCTGGAGAATCTCCAGACACAGACATGAGACACCTGGAGAATGTCTAGACACAGACATGAGACACCTGGAGAATGTCCAGACACAGACATGAGACACCTGGAGAATGTCCAGACACAGACATGAGACACCTGGAGAATGTCTACACTCAGACACAGACATGAGACACCTGGAGAATGTCCACACACAGACATGAGACACCTGAGAATGTCCAGACACAGACATGAGACACCTGGAGAATGTCTAGACACAGACATGAGACACCTGGAGAATGTCTAGACACAGACATGAGACACCTGGAGAATGTCCAGACACAGACATGAGACACCTGGAGAATCTCCAGACACAGACATGAGACACCTGGAGAATGTCCAGACACAGACATGAGACACCTGGAGAATCTCCAGACACAGACATGAGACACCTGGAGAATATCTACACTCAGACACAGACATGAGACACTGGAGAATGTCTACACTGGACAATCTCCAGACACAGACATGAGACACCTGGAGAATGTCCAGACACAGACATGAGACACCTGGAGAATGTCCACACACAGACATGAGAAACCTGGAGAATGTCCACACACAGACATGAGACACCTGGAAAATGTCCACACACAGACACAGACAGACACAGACATGAAATACCTGAAAAAATCCAGAGGCAAGAATAAAAATGTCATAAGATACAGGGGAAAAACGTTTGTTATATCCATCAGTTTGTGTTTTCTGCATGGTTGTACTAAACAGGATGGACTGTACTCACCGCCTTCATCTCGCGCCGTGTGATCTTGCTGTCGTAGTGTTGGATGATGTCTTTGGCAACAACCACAGCTTCGTCCTCCACCTCTGGACCGATCACTTCCTCCTCTAAGAAGTCCTCTGCTATGATGTCAAACACAGCCTCCTCTAGCTGAAACATCCATAAGGAATCCTCAATTAACCCTACCTCTACTCATGCCAAAACAGGGAATCCTTACCCTATCCCACCTGTGACTGAACCACAATAGGATATCCTCAATAGACCCTATCTCTCTTCAGGCCGAAACAAAACAGAGAATCTTCATTTAACCATATCCCACCTGTGGCCAAAATTCAATAGGAATTCTCAATAAACCCTCAACCATTATAACAGTCTTCTGATGTGACATGTTTCTATTACAGATCGGTGCTGAACTCCAACTCGGAAGAATCTTGATTGGCTTCTGATTTGAACTTACTGAGAGAGACTAATAGAAAAACAATAACCTCGAGCTCTACTGTTAGGTCACAGTCAGTCAAGATTTCCTTGTCAGAGTCAGATTAACGTCACATCAGCAATGTTTCAGCCATATCGTGTCGAAAACAATTTTGACGCTGATTAAGAATGTGTATATTATAAAACATGTCATCAAAGGACAGTAAAACATCTAGACAAGTTCGAATTTAAAAGTAGCATGTGAAGTTAAAATTAATGACACAATTTGGACAATACATAATATAAAATAAGGCTATAGATCGCCAACAAATGAAGGTAGATCACCATACTAGAGACAGGTGGTCCTTGGATTCTAATACCATAGCAGGGACAAGTTCAGCCAAAGATCACTCTGCAGTAATAATTATCGCGGCACTTAAGAATATTTACGACAGGCATGCGTTTGTATGTGTTGCTGCCTGTACTAGCCCAGACTTAAGCTGGTTTTATAATGCTAGCCCACTGAGATACCATGCCGCAGTGAAGCACTGAATACCCCACTCAGGGAGGTAATAAAATCATCAGGCCAAGCCATGAATGCATCCAGGGTATAGTGGAGAGTGATCATAACATATACCCTGGAGATTATTGAGGATGCAGCAACCCATGCATGTTGTAAAAGGTGACTAACGGGGTTGGGTGGTCAGGCTCGCTTACTCCTTGACCCATGTCATCGTATCTCAGTTGTGTAGATTGATGCTCATGCTGTTGATCACTGGATTGTCTGGTCCAGGCTGGATTATGTACAGACCGCCAACATATAGCTGGAATTTTGCTGCATATGGCGTTAACAGCGGAACAGATAAGCTGCTTATCTGCATAAATTATGCAAATATTTATGTGAAAACTCAACTCCTATTAAGTCTATTGCGTACAAGTACGGTTGAATTTAAATACTCAACAGATTTGATCTTACATGCGTACAAACAAAAATAGATAATATAATTGAGGTATATTGAGAGGTACTTTTTCAGCACCTGAACTTTGCAACTTGTCTTTTTTTTTCTTATCGTTTCTCATATTGCCGATCGAATATAAATAACAAACATGTAAACCAACACTTTAACGTTAACATATTTTTACAATGAATGGAAAAATGGCAATTGGGTTTGGGTGAGGTGGGTCCAATTTATTTGGTTACTCAAAGGAAAATTAGGATACCCAATTGTAGGGCTGCGCAATATAACCGGTTTACCGGTATATACCGGTTCAGACATGAAAACGATACGTATTGCGATACGTTGATCGAAAACCGGTATTTTGACATGCATTCGGAAAACTTCGTAACACTCGGAAATCTTCGGATATTTCCGTTTTTCACACAGGAAGTCATGCATTTGTTGTAAAATCTCGACCCCCAACAACGAACAATATTTATTGTGGCGCCAATTACTCGGGAAAAGCTTCAGTACTTATGGCAGCATTTTGGGTTGAAGTTCACGGTAGATGGAACTATTGATAAGAGTAACGCGGTATTAAAATATGCAATGGTTAAGTAAATTGAAAGTTTTTATTAAAGCTTAATCAAGCATAGTGATTTTGTTGTATTTTTGCTTTATAAATCAAGCATTAACTTCTTGCAATATATTGCAATACATATCGCAATATATGCTTTCGCATCGCAATATATCGCAATATGAAAATTCTCTGCAATACCCACTCCTACCCAACTGAGATGAACGCAAGCGAGTACATAACTCAATGACCCAAGACGTTATCTGTAGCTCTGGTTAAACAACAAACCAACCTACCAACCACACAACCAGTGCAATGTTTCTCACCAGCTCGCTTCTCATGTCCTGGACCTCCTCAGCGAGTAGTTCATCCAGGATGTTGTCTGCCATGACATCCTCCAGGTAGTTGTGGGCAAGTTCCAGCACCGTCTCACGCACAACCTCCCTGCACTGCTCCGTCACCGCAGCCTCCACGACGTCATCCAGGAACAGCTCCAGGGGATCTGGTGGGGGGATGTAGTAGGGGGTGAGGGGGGTGAGGGGGAGGCTGATCTTGGTGTACCTGCAGAGGTGAGAGATGTCAACACATTCAACCTATCTGTCAACCGTTCATCATCTTGTGTGCAGACTCTTTCAGTGTTGTCACAACCCCTAGTGTACAGTACACAACCCAGTGCACTTAAAAGAACCTCATGAATCCGTTGGTAAATGACCAGATGGTGGCTACATGAATACGTGCAAACGCCTAGTTGCGGGTACAGCAATGTGCAGTAAACTTGGACAAAGTACGGTGACTATGTGTCCCAGTCCACCCAGCTGTGAATGGGTACCTCGTAAGGATGGGAAAGCCACATTAACTCGGTGTGCCTTGTGGCTGCAAGAGTTGTATGCTCCCTAAGAGTTGAGATTGATAATACGGAGTACCGCTGAGACTGACATCCTATGATCGAGGAAAAAAATAACAAAGCGCCTGTGAGCAGCCTAGCTGGAACTCGGCGCTATATAAATAGATTATAATAACATAATAATAATATATGATTATGTGTCAGAAGAACAGGGGAACATTAATACACATGTATAAGGTTCAAGATTCAGTTGGCCTAAATTATTCCCACAAGAGACTAGGGCTGTGCAATATTACCGGTAAACCGGTATATACCGGTACAGTATCTCGTGATACGATTATCGCAATATGGTTCAGATTCTGCAATATATTGGGTCATCCAGAGTTAGCTCCCTTGGCATTATCTGCCCTTGATTTCCATAGCAACAAAATGTGCTCTAAAAGTGCCAAATATACTTTTGTTTCTTTTCTGTTTCATGTAACATTGTACAAGTGGAAGTGTCTTTATAAGTGGCTCCAATATTCTACCAAATGATTTAAGTTTTGGGGTTTTAATGGTTTCATATGTGATGTTTTGGAGAAATTAAGTGGCCTCAAATGGACCATTTTTAAGAAAAGCAAGAGTAATGGATATCAACTTCTTGTTGTGAACAACAGAATGGTTCGGAGTGTATGCTTGCTCCTTCATCAGGTAATGAATATTCACAATAAAGAAGTTGACATCCATAAATCTTGCTTTTCCTATGCATTCCACTTCTAAATGCCCTTCAAAGATTTGACCAATCTTTTATTTGAACTTATAAGTAGAGACACTGGTTCTGAGTGACCACTCTCACAATTCACATTATTTTGTTATTTTTGTTTTGTTTCTTAATGGGACATATGTTCACATTTTACGATAAAGGCCAAAGTCTTATAAATCTTAGAGATTTTAAGCTCAAGTAGTTCACCTAAATCATGTGTTTGTTTCATTTTACAACAGTTCATGTTAACACATATTTATATTGGAGTTGAATCTGAATGAATCACTGACATACAGTAACAATAATTACATACTGCATTGAAGTGCATTCAATTTGAATCAAACAACACTGACCATAAAAATCATGTTGTACTATTACCTTTATCATTATGTTCGCAAAACTTTGTTGCAATATTTACTTCAATGAAACATTCCCCATTAAGGCTCTATATACTTTATCTGTACACCACTGGCATACACCCATACACAATGGGGACGGGGAGCCTGAAAGTATGGCACAACAGCAACAAAGAAGATGATGTCACACACAGAGAGCTATTATGAATTTATGATGTACACACTTGCAAAGAAACCTTCCAGTCAATATATCACAATATGTATTGCAATATCTCTTGAATTATTGCAATATAATCGCAATATGAGAATCTGGGTAATATCCAGCCCTACAAGAGACACAGTCATCCATCCACCCATCTATCTGTCTGATCAACAAATAATGGTAGGGATAGCCTAGTAGTTGCCTAGTTCCGATTCCCCACATGGGTACAATGTGTGAAGCCCATTTCTGGTGTCCCCCGCCGTGATATTGGCGGTGTAAAACTAAACTCACTCCCTCCCTCGAGCTCACTCTTGTTCCAAAAAACATGAACAGATTACAACTGCTATAATAATGATGCTAACTTTATGCTCTCATGCTATCAACCACCAGTTTGCTGGACACAGAGATGATTATTTGCGGGATGCCACGATACAGATGGAGAATTGCTATTTGTGCAGTAAAACAACATTCCCACTTTAATGTGGACCACTTTTGGAGAAAACATATAATTTCTAAAGCGGCGAGTTTGGTTTTACGCCGCTTTTAGCAGTATTTCAGCAACATCACGGCGGGGGACACCAGAAATGGGCTTCACACATTGTACCCATGGGGGAATCGAACCCAGGTCTTCGGCGTGACGTAATTTCTAAAGACTTTATGACGCAACATTTCACCAGAATTTCTACAATTAAACAAAATATGTTTTGAGGTTCCATAGTGAGAATGATATGCTTTTGAGAAGTGAGGGAGTGAGTTTAGTTTTATGCCGCACTCAGCAATATTCCAGCCATATTGTGGCGGTCTGTAAATAATCGAGTCTGGACCAGACAATCCAGTGATCAACAGCATGAGCATCCACCTGCGCAATTGGGAACCGATGACATGTGTCAACCAAGGTAGCGAGCCTGACCCTCCGATCCCATTAGTCGCCTCTTACGACAAGCATGGATTACTAAAGGTTCATTCTAACCAGGACCTTCACTGGTTGCTTTAGAGAAAGTATGTGAGAGCATTTAAAACCATTTTAGACAATATTGCTGTTATACAGTGGCACATTTGCTTGGCTCGGGTGCTGACAAACTCGGAATAATGACGAGGGCAAATCAGGGATAAGAACCCCACATCCAAGGATTCTGGCACACATAAGGGAGAGAACTCTGTACAGCTAAGTGTAGTAAATGTGAAAATGAGCCCGCTGTATCTTGATGTATAAGTCTGATGAGAAACGATGACCTACGGTCTAGCCTCCTCCAGCATGGCTTCCCGAGCAATCTCTTCCGTCATCTCTTCGATCTCCCGTGAAAGGATGTCGTCACATGCTCGCAGCGCTGGCATGAACCATGGATGCTCCGCTGGCTGCAGCACAACATCATCATCATCAATATCATCGTCATCATCATCATCATCATCAATAACATCATCAAAATCATCACCATCATACAGATTATAGCCCTACATCTGCTATCAACCGAGAATCTTCACACAAGAATCCATCTAGTTATAACAACCTGTACAATCGTTTACTGCTAAAGACTGACCTCTGTTTATCAACTCTAACGATAGGTTTTTTCAGCAAAAAGATGAAATGTGATAATTTGGATCAGAACTTCAGATTCTGATTTCCACAAAACACATACTGGTGTTCATCTACACCCTATCTAAGATAATAATAATAAACTTCCAGAGAATTAGAACTTCCTGATACTTATAAAGCTGAATATTAAATTATTGATTAGCATATACTTTCATCTAGTCTGTCGTACAGACCCTGAAGTAAATACATCCAAGAAAGCCCACGCAAGTCTAGAAAATGTGGCAAGTCTAGATTTCCTCAGCTTCAGGCAGGGCTCCTTTTCATTATATATATTTTTATTTTTTTTACAATGAACTTTTTTCAGTAAATTATGTTCATTTCAGAGACTAGTTGTTAGTCTAACTTTCATCACATATATGGAGATTCTAGTTGGTTTTACTGTTCTTCATTGGCAGGTTTTAATAACTTACATGTATTCATGGTGAATTTAGAACTTGTTTTAGTCACGAAATGGCTGAAATATTGCCGGTGTGATTGTAAATCTTAACTCACTCACTCACTCATATATGAAGACTATACTTAAGATGAAATGATAAGTTACTATTTCTGTTTCACCTACTGGCACTCCAACCTGCGCGGGGTGGAGGAGCCAAGGGACATAACTCCACACAGTTATTGTTGGAATCTAACACCTCTGTGCCATCTCTCCTCCAAAGTAACATGACATCATATAAGTGAGATGAGGTGAAATTGGGTTTTACGTTGTGCTTGAGAATATTTCGCTCATATGACGATGTGCATGTGTGTGTATGTGTATGTGCGGCTGCTTGTACTAGCCCAGACTTAAGCTGGTTTTATAGTGCTCGCCCACTGAGATACCATGCCACAGTGAAGCATGAATACCCCACTCAGACACATTATACTGACTCCGAGCCGACCAGTCCTTGTTGTACCCATTAATGCCGAGCGCCAGGCAGGGACCAACAATTACCATATTTTCACGTCTTTTGGTATGGCGCGGTCGGGGATCGAACCCAGCGACCTTCCGCTCTCCGGGCGGACGCTCTAACCACTACACCACGGAGGCGGTCAACATCATATAAGTAGTGATAACAACAATGTCTTTAAAGTCCACAATGATGATTCTCCACGACAGGCTGGTTTTGTGTTGGGCAGTCTTTCAAAACAGGCTGACTCATCTGTTTATAATATTCAGGTATATAAATATACCGATCAGTTGATGTGTGATCTGATTGGCAATTTATAACAAGGCTTTCTGGTTTGTCTGTCTCAGACTTACCTGAAATTGAAATACTGTGAAAATCAAATTTACAAGAAGAGTATTCGTAATTAATTTTTTTATTTAAAAACAAAACTGGCGATAGTATGATTGTCTAAACTAATATTAGTTTGGTGCTACTGTGAATGAAATAAAATATTAATGTCAAATAGCGACTACTCTGTTAGTTTTAAGAATTAGATGTAAGGAAGAACAGGGATAACAACATGGCTGTCAGTTTGTGTGGAGGGTTGGAGTTAGGAAGAAAAGGGATTCAGTGATATCAACATGGCTGTCAGTTTGTGTGGAGGGTTGGAGTTAGGAAGAAAAGGGATTCAGTGATATCAACATGGCTGTCAGTTTGTGTGGAGGGTTGGAGTTAGGAAGAAAAGGGATTCAGTGATATCAACTTGGCTGTCAGTTTGGGAGGGTTGGAGTTAGGAAGAAAAGGGATTCAGTGATATCAACATGGCTGTCAGTTTGTGTGGAGGGTTGGAGTTAGGAAGAAAAGGGATTCAGTGATATCAACATGGCTGTCAGTTTGTGTGGAGGGTTGGAGTTAGGGAGAAAAGGGATTCAGTGATATCAACATGGCTGTCAGTTTGTGTGGAGGGTTGGAGTTAGGAAGAAAAGGGATTCAGTGATATCAACATGGCTGTCAGTTTGTGTGGAGGGTTGGAGTTAGGGAGAAAAGGGATTCAGTGATATCAACATGGCTGTCAGTTTGTGTGGAGGGTTGGAGTTAGGGAAAAAAAGGGATTCAGTGATATCAACTTGGCTGTCAGTTTGTGTGGAGGGTTGGAGTTAGGGAGAAAAGGGATTCAGTGATATCAACATGGCTGTCAGTTTGTGTGGAGGGTTGGAGTTTGGGAGAAAAGGGATTCAGTGATATCAACATGGCTGTCAGTTTGTGTGGAGGGTTGGAGTTAGGAAGAAAAGGGATTCAGTGATATCAACATGGCTGTCAGTTTGTGTGGAGGGTTGGAGTTAGGAAGAAAAGGGATTCAGTGATATCAACATGGCTGTCAGTTTGTGTGGAGGGTTGGAGTTTGGGAGAAAAAGGGATTCAGTGATATCAACACGGCTGTCAGTTTGTGTGGAGGGTTGGAGTTAGGAAGAAAAGGGTGTCTCAGGGATTGGGATAGAGAACTTGACAATGGGCCATTTTCAGGATTATTAGCCCTTTTCTCAATTTAGAATGGGCCACTACCCTTGTATCAATAGTAAACTTCAAAATTTTAATGGGCCATTTTGTATTCTAATGTGCAAAATGGCCCATGGCCCCTGCCTTTCCCAATCCCTGGGTGTCTACAGGTATCTATGTGGATTTAAGGTTAAGAAGAGTGAGTTAGTTAATGATCAGCGTCACATCAGCAATATTCAGGCTATAAGGTGATGAGAACAATTTATACATTTATTATAATTAATATATTTAGAACGTGGGACCTGTCGGCAATGGACAATAAAACTACTAGAGTATCACAGATGTTAAGTTAAAACTAGCATGTTATCAGAAAAGATATCACTTTGTGCCGCTGACTATGAACGTAGGAATGTACTGTATGGGTCTAGCAGAGATATGTCAAACTTGGTCAGTTCTGTCGCTTACATGACATCCTGTATTAAACTGCATCCCTTATGAAGTTACTTCCAATATGTACCTATGAAGATTAGAATTGATCTTCAGTAACCCATGCTTGTCGTAAGAGGCGACTAATGGGTGGTCAGGCTTGCTGATTTGGTTGTCACATGTCATCGTATCCCAATTGCGTAGATCGATGCTCATGATGTTGATCGTTGGACTGTCTGGTCCAGAGTCGATTATTTACAGACTGCAGATATAGTTGTAATATTGCGGCATAAAACTTAACTCACTCACTCACTTCCAATTCGCATCACTCTCTGAAACCTGACCATGCTGGGATTTTATGACACATTACGTGGTCTATTAGAAACAGTGAAATTCTAGTGCAAGGGTTACCTCCCTTCAGAAACTTCAGAAATATTATTTGGCAAACAGACATGACCAAGTCTACTTAGGTGTGAAGGATGGGTCTATGTGCAGGGTTATTACGATATTTATACACACCAACTTGTCAACCTCCGTAAGAGCATCGATTAAAACATCAGGTACAAATTCCTCCTCTAAACAATCCGTTATAAACCAATTGACAAAGTCCTCAGCAAACAGCGGATGTTTAATGAAAAATGTGTGTGTTTCATCCTGAAAATAAAATTAAGTCAGAAACCATCACCAACACAGCAAAACATGTCAACAAAACACAACAAAATACTTCAACAACTCAACAAAACAACACCACAACACTGACTGACTGACTGACTGAGTTTGGTATTACACCGCTTTTAGCAACATTCCAGCAATATCACGGCGGGGGACACCAGAAATGGGCTTCACTCATTGTACCCATGTGGGGATTCTAACCCGGGTCTTCGGCGTGACGAGCCAACGCTTTAACCACTAGACTACCCCACCCCCCCCCACATCACCACAACAAAACATCATTAAAACAAAACAAAACACGTCAATTAATCACAAAGATTGGAAGCATGATCATACATAAATTGATCAATATCATAAGTAATCCATGAAGATCAGGGTTGGAATTGGCATCGGGAGGTCAGGCTCGGTTACTTGGTTGACACAGGTCATTGTATCCCAAATACATAGGTCAATGCTCATGATGTTGATCACTGGATTGTCTGGTCCAGACATGATTATTTACATACGGATCAGTAAACAGTTCCACACATGAATATGAAATTTTTAGAGTAAAATTAATATTTTTATACTTATCCTGACTCATGCTTATTTGCTTGTCTTCTTCTTCTGGCGAACCTAGTGGAACACTTGTATCTCCCAATTGAAGCTCCCTTCAATAAAAAATCACTCATTAGTACTCACCACGAGTTACCTCCCTTCTGTAAGCTCGGGAACGAGGGCGCCACCCAAGCCCATGTGCCCCACTCTCTCCTTTTTTGCTTTGAGCCCAACACTTTCTTTTTTCGAGAAAACCAAAGTGTTAAGTGGGGAGGCCGGGGCTTACCTCATGAGTCAGGATAAGCATAAAAATATTAATTTTACTCTAAAAATTTCATATTTTTCTTATCCTGACTCATGCTTATTTGCTTGTAGAATCCTATGGATTAGGAGGTGGGATTATATATACTTTGGATTTTACTAATTAGTGATTTGAAGTGATATGATTGTAATAACCGAGTATGGGAACTTCATGAAGGCACTGAACTGAATTCCTGCTGTTAATATAACAGCTGCCTTTAAAGAAGGTTATTACACTTTACTGCATATAATAAAAGTATATAGAACATTAATTAAGCTAAGGCCATTAATGTGATAGTATAAACTGTTGATAGTTTATAATGAATACTTTTATAAGAACCAAAGTAGTAAGCTTACAATATGTATATATATAAGCTATGACAGAATTGTGCTTAAGGTATAAAGATAACTTAAGCTGTATAATAGTAACCAACTACTGATAGTTTGTTAACTTATACATGTTATGAAATGAACATATGACTGAGCTTAAGGAAGAACTTAAGCTGAACATATATATAATAGTAGAAACTCGTAAGAGTTGTAGGTATATATATATTATGATATAAATCATAGTACTGAGCTTAAGATAATATTTTAACTTAAGCAAATATATATAGCTAAAGTTGAAGCTAGTGCTCTAATTTCGTGAGGATTAGTAGCACTTGGAGGGTCCAGTCCAGCTGCCTTGTAGGCTCTTAGTATGACAGTTCTGATCCAAATAGAAATGGTAGTGCGCGACACTTCTGTCGATGAGCGATGTTATGAATATCATCAAATCGTGTTCTGAGACACAGGCGTTCTCACGTCCAGCTCACTGGGCGAAGAAGGAGAGAGTGAGGCACATGGGCTTGGGTGGCGCCCTCGTTCCCGCGCTTACAGAAGGGAGGTAACTCGTGGTGAGTACTAATGAGTGATTCTTTATTGAAGGGACCTTCAATTGGGAGATACAAGTGTTCCACTAGGTTCGCCAGAAGAAGAAAACAAGCAAATAAGCATGAGTCAGGATAAGAAAAAATAAACATTTATCATCATTACTTCTTCACCGGGGCGGTAAGATAGCCGAGTGGTTAAAGCGTTCGCTGGTCTCATCGAAATCCTGGGTTAGATTCCCCACATGGGTACGGTGTTTGAAGCCGATTTCTGATATCCCCATTCTGATATTGCTGGAATATTGCTAAAAGCAGCCTAAAACCATATCCACTCACTCACTCACAACCTCACCAACATATTTACTGATTGTTAACACAACACATTTACACAACACAACACAGCAAAACACAATAAACAACACAACTGTATACAACACATGAAAGCACCATATCTATTTCTTTAATTAATACACACGCTTATCTCAGTGACTCAAGCATTCTCTCATCACGCCAAAGACCCGGGTTCCATTCCCACATGTGTATAGTGTGTGAGGTCAATTTTCAATATCTTCATCATCATATTGCTGTAATAATGCTAAAAGCAGCATAAAACCATATTCATTCAGAGGCCCAGATAAGCTGCGTATCCGGGTAAAATACGAATAGGAAATTTCCAATTACGCATTGAAAAATAATTGTTGCGTACCAATTACACATTTAAAATGTTAGATACGTAAAAAAATTAAACAAATGCGTATATATTATAAAAATCGCTTGCGTAATGAAAAAGACATCGATTGCTATCAAGTTGTACTGTTAGTATAGGACTAGTGTTGTACTGTCAGCATAGGATGAGTAATTTTTTATGAAATCATTTCCATTATATTTAAGTTGGTTTTGATTAGGTATGACATAAGGCAGAACATACCTACTTAGTAAACTTACTCAATGACATAATACTTAGGTGAGTAAAATGACTGAAATACACACATATTAGAAAGCAGTGGGTAAAGGAAAATGAAATACCCACTCAACACTCATAATACACGATCCAAAAAAATACAGTGGGTACAGTACCCACATGAGCTAAATCTTATCTGGAGCTCTGTTCATTCACTCACTCACAACATCTCCACACAAATGCAGTTCAAGAAAAGATTACAATCCACCATTTGTTTAAGCCCAGTCCCATCACTACATGCCACATGAAACAGATACCAACCACAATCACAACTCACCGAGACATCTTCCAGCTCAATGTCCAGTAGTGGTTGGGCATACTGAAACACGATATACATTTCTCAATTCCTGGAACTGGAAGCCAAACAATGCACTTGATTGCTGGGTCTTAAGACCCCAGGGGTGTGGGCTCTACGTATATAACAAAAAATATTTTGAGGTTACATTTTCAACTGAATCCCTGAAGTTATGTTTTATCTGTTCTCTATGCGGCTTTTCTCGAGGTAATTGTTTTACGTTTTCTACCAGATGGGTCTTAGTACTATATAAAAGGAAAGGATTGTAACGGGTCAACACACCAAGTTCGTTTCAGGGCGAATTCAACAATGCTCAGTTGAGTTGAGATTGAAAATAAGATGTGCCGTTTGAGTTTGACATCCAATGATCGAGGGAAAGACAAAGTGCCTTTGAGCAACTGAGCTGGATATCGGCGCTATACAAATGTTAGTATAACACATATAATATACCTTTAAAAGTATGTACTTTGTATTAGAGTTTTGACGATATATCGTAGTATCGATAATCGTGATACTTTTTCTGACAATAAATATATCGATACTTTTTTCCGTATTGTGATATGTATCGTTGACCTTAAAATTGTGACTTTTCACCAGAAATTGACGGTTATGTCCAACTTTACACTGTTTCTTGTTATCAAAATACACTTTTTTAAAGAAAATAACTAAAGATAGCATATCGTGATATGCATCGTATCGAATCGTATCATTCCATGATATCGCGATACGTTTCGTATCGTGAAATATCTGTATCGTCACACCTCTACTTTGTAAAGCTAGCATCTTCGGAAGCTCTAACAATAGTGATTTATCGATTCTGAAACAAAATCCCTGCTCAGAATTAGTACCAATAACGTAGATAGGGACAGTGGGAATCTCGTTAATCTATTCATGTGCGTCACTAATTAGATGACGAGGCATTTGGCTACCTTAAGAGAGTCATAGTTACCGATTTTCTTGTTTATTTCATCATAAACAGTGATCGCATTTAACAACCCTTAACAACCCTGGACATGACCTGCCTCACACTGAAAAGAGCCAGCGATCAGATGGGACGTATTTTACTTATATCCAATCAGATCGTAAGCTCTACCTACCTGGTACGACCTTCTGGGTGGGGTGTAGGCTCTTCGCCGGGGTAGTGGTTCTTCCTCCGAGTGTTCGCCACTATCGTCCGAATCTGATCCATCTGGTACGGTGTGTACAGGCATCACATAAGCATTCAACATAGGCACCGGGTACCCGTTCAAGGGCCCCGGGTAGCTGTGTATGGGGACTGGATAACCGTTATTCAAAGGGACTGGATACCCGTTATTCAAAGGTACCGAATTCCTGGCAGGATCACGACGGGACTTGCGGCCCTTCTTTTTGGAAGTGGACCCTGAGAGACGTAACCTATCTCTGTGAATGTCCTTATACCCTCTGTTAGACTTCTTCTTGTCTCTGCGCTTTTGGTGCCGCCCCGCTCCTTTGGGTGGGGGAGGGTAGTACATGGGGAAAGGCTGACCGTAGACCACAGAGGGCGGGGCATACATGGGGTAAGGTAGAGGGTGGGGTTTAAGTTGGTCGTCCTCATCATCGTCAGTTTCTTCTCCCCAGCTGTCGTATTCAGGAGGTCTGTAACCATAGCAACAAGATGGCACAAACATCAGAAAATGAATATTGCATTTAACTGTATCCATAGAAACTACTCTTAAAAAACATAATGCATTTCTCTCAATACCACTAACTTGGTCAGCTACCATATAAAGCTACCTTATTTAAAAAAAATTAAGCATGTAAATTACAATATTAAATTAAAAAGTTCTAACAAATTAGGCCCCCCAAAAACATATGTCAGCTTCCAGTAACCCAACTACACCCCCAACCCCCCACCCCGACCCTAAATCTTTTTCTAACCAAGTCATAATCATGTCTGGAGTGCATTTCTTTTCAACTCATCATTTTCATCCCAATCGGGTATGATATTTTCATCTTTTTCAGTTTACGTAGGGCTAAAATGGATTGTATTGAATAGGCACAATGGGCTCTCACTGACAAATACTGCAAATAAATGACATAAATAATGAATCGATATAGAAAGCTTTCTATATTTCATCACAAGGCATTGCCACTACATGATATGGTTGTCTTGAGGACCGTCTCCGGTGCCACCTGATGCTACTAAAAAAAAAGAAGATAAAACCGACCCACCTACCCTGTTTTTAAAGAGCATGTAATAGGAAACGGACATATATTTTTTTGGGGGGTGCCTTAATGCAACGTTGCATTAACTCATTAAGCCCGAGAGCCCCATCACTACTCAACACCTGGAAGCCCTCGCTGATTGCCCACTCTCTGTGCCGAGACTAATTAGTGCTAGTCACACCTGATTTCCTGGCAGGTTTCGGGGATCACAGGAAACTGTGTAGTCGTACAAACAAGTCCTGATTGTTTAATTGTGTCTTAAAGATATATGTTGAAAGAAATCAGGTGTGAATACATGTCGTGTATTGCAAGCTTTATGTAATTTTATTGCAAGTTTCTCTTGTAGACCTTTTGTCGGCTTGTACATTTATATTTTATCACAATATGCATACACATGTATTCTTTGTATGTAACAGATGAGACACTGCGTTAACAAATTCTCTCTCTTATATCATTGTGTGAGGTTTAAATTTACAAAACATCTATGACAATGACATACTGTAAAGAAGAATTTACTTTCATACTTTATAATCTTCGACTGAAAATAAGCGGTTTTGCCGATACATTTCTAGTGTTTACTGAATTATTTTAATGAAAGTACTATAACGCTAGTCTGTGACTAGCACAAAGCACATTCATAGCATTGCACTTTATTTCATACAGATTTAATGCAGAAAACATACGTGACCATACAAACATACATATACAAAATGTATACTACATATTCCTTGCATAGACATAAAACAAAGAGTCATTGATAGGGCTGTCATCAAATTTTTGTAGTGGCGAAATAGAACGTTCGGTATCTCAACTGTTCAATGTAGTGGCTGGTCATATGTTATCTATGCGACCAGTCGTTATCATGAGATACCTGTCACAGAGGAAAGGACAGGTGATGGGGCTGGTGCTTAAATTTCTGAAGAGCACGTTTGGTCACTCAGCAGCTTGGATAGAGATTGGTTATTGGCTATATCCTTGACCAGTCGATATGCTGGGTTTCGGCTTTATCAACTCAAGCTATCATGTAACAGTTTGTGTATTGTAAACATACACACTGGTAACAATGTATGAAATATACACATAAGACAAATAGGAGTTGATAGTCACTTTGGCGAGTTTATTTGTCCTCATTTTAGTGTTTTTCGATAAGTAAAACAAAGCGATTGAAATCCAACCACTGAGTAGAGGTAGTATATATTTTCATATACATTTTATGCACACAACTAGTACATAAAACATAATGGTTTGCTGTTCATGTAAATATAATCTTCACCTTGATACGAATGACTATCCAAACTAGAGTACACACACGAGGTGACACTATACTGAATTATTATAGTGTATAAACTTGCAGTTGACACCCCCACCCCCAATATTTATGAAGGTGGGCGTGCCTATATCTTTACTGAATGCAAACGAGGTTCATAAGATTACAGATGTGCATGCATGTATAAACATCACAGAGAGGCGTGACTCCATAAAGCAAGATGTCCAATGATATAACAGCATCTGTTTATTTTACACTTGTCACGGGGACAAACCTTTCAACAAGGACGTAACTCTACATATGCATTCTACCGGAGGCTGTTATTTCAAGGTCGAAGAGGCGTTCAATTATCTCATTACTGTAATCTGCTTGAATGATTATACACATGTGTATCGATACCGTAACTGATATACTATCCAGCTTTTATTGACGATGGATCAATAGAGACTGAGTTGATTGATACACGTGATAATTGCACCGGATTTGATAATTACACAGATCAAATACAAACGTTTTACAGAATGCTCATGTAAATTGCATAGAAAACTGACAATTCAAATCAACATGAAACTTTCAACAGCTTGAACAAACATGCTTGAAATACCTTTGTATGGGCTTACATGTAATAACTTATGATATTACTTCTGTCCATGTGTGACAATGTTTTGAATTACCAACTTACTGTCTTTTGTAACAAACGTAGTAAAACATTTCATTGTTGTAATAACACTGACATGTATATATGTATTCGATGCAAAGGAGCGACTTATCACTTTATATTCGCTTAGGTAACATTACGAACTTTAGATTATGGAAAACAACTAGTTACAATTCAAATTAGTAAGTTCAAATTATGTTTAATCTATTCGAGCTTGGATGTATAATTACTTGTGTTTATACATTATGTTTCAGTATATGAAACATGACAACGTAATGATGCCTAAAAAGTAAATTCAAACTATTCTATTGTGTTTGAATTCTTTGTATGACCTTGAAATTTCGTATATTGTTTCCTATTTATTAGGTAGTTGAAGGAAATATAATTTTTAGTAACCTCTAAACCATTACATCTAATTCAATCAAGGTGCATACGAAGTATTTTAGTATCCATTCCCAAGGAAGAGTACCAGGCACTTACCTCTGTAAAAACATCAAAATCCCCTTTCTCGCCGACATGCATTCATTTGCTAAACGCTGTACAAGCCTATGATAATGATTAGCAATTGTTATCAAAACACTTTAAATACTTCTTCTGATTGATACTAAATCTCTAAGTGGGATCTCTCGTAAGAAAAGCTAACATTTGCTCAGTAATGCTAAATTGGTTGAAATAATAGGTACAGTCAGCGGAATCTTAAAATGCGATTTTTAAAAGTACAACACATGACATGGTTTGATACAAAACAGATTACCGTGAATTTGCGACTTCGGAAAAATAACCATGCACAGATTTCCATCTCGCTGAATAAGAATCATGCTTTCTGTTGGCGACTGTATGTGGCTCTAAGACTCGCCAATTATTGTGAGAAGCTGCTAATTACTGTGCCCCATAAACAGACTGGCAGTTCACAGCTGTGAGTAGAGAGCTGATTAATTTGCCCCATATATTTTAAAATAACACATGTTCGTCTCTGCGAGATCTCTCGGCCTTAATGAGTTAAATCGACTCTCGCACCCTCTACCAGCCAAAACATTATTTCAAGCGAACCATATAGAGTTATTTCCCTTGGAGCGTTCCTCATGAATATCCTATGCACAACTATGTGATTGAAACCAGCTCGGCAAACACTGACAACACCGCGTGCGTCAATTTTCGATGTCTGAAGCAATTGTTTACATTACATATGTGGCAAGTGTTCCCTGTTTGGAAAGCTGTTCGCCTCGAAGTTTCAATTATCGATTTCAGGCAAGTCGTAAGGGATAATAAATCTTTTATTGCAACAACAGGAAGCTAAAGTGAGTGCATATGCCCCAGTATATATAATATACCCCAAAATAATGTCGAAAATGTGCGACATTGTGCCTTTAATGATTACTTGGTCTTTGGTGAGTTGAGATGAAATTGAGAGAATGGCCCATTCAGGAATAATGCACAGTTCCAGCAACATGCATGCATGTCAGTTTGCTTGTTCTGACTACTACTAGTTTTTAAAATGCTAGCCTACTGAGATTCTCTGACGCAGTCTAACATGGTTGTCCCACTCAGAGATAGAAGACTGACAGCGCCGATCAGAGTCAACCATGTTTAGGTATAATGCTGCATACAGGTGTAGCAGCCCAGAATACCCCCCCACCAGATTATACCCCAGGGTAAACTATAGGCTAGCCCAGTTTATACCCCGGGGGTATATTCTGGACCAGGCCAAAGTATACCCCTCCAGCCCAGACTATACCCCTAAAAAAATTATGTTGACAATTCACTCAATATGAGTGTGTGACTCAGGGCAATGGTCTTGGTGTCATTTAAAGGAATTTGTAGGTGCATTTCATTTACATTACTGCATAATACAAAATTTATGAGGTATTTGTTGAGTGCCTCTCTGCGATGTGATATTTTCGACTTTGCGTAACCCAGCCATGCTGATACATCATCAAGGTAAGTAGTTAGTTATCTGCTTTATTTAGTGTCGCATGCACAACTAAGGTATTTCGGCGACGGGGTAGTACACTTATTAAGAAATGAGGTGGAACAAAAAATAGAAAATTTGAGAGAAAACTGATTTGAAAAGTTAAAAGAAAATATATACATATTAATTACAATTTTTAATATGGTAAAAAGTGGAATTATTGTATTATTGTTTTGGGAGATTAGATGGTCTATGGAGATCATCAAAATGTTTGTGGAATTATTTTATACAGGACTAGTTTAACCCCGGGTATAGTCTGGGACAGGGGTAACCTCTGGCCTGTTACACCGGCATCTAACCCCAACCTTCCACTCTGTGAGTAAGTGCTGTGTCCACTAGACCATGGAGGAATTTGTTTGAGGAACATAGACGACAAAGAAAAGTGAGAAGAACTGGTCGTTTGTATGCCAAGTATGTTACATATTTTTCACCTGTCTTACAATACCCTATCATACCATATGCTTCTTCCCAAAGACAAAAACAGTTACAAGCCTAAATCTTAATCCAATGTTTATCTAAAAGGCCTTTTTTCATCATTGATCTTAATTACAGAAATAGCAACAATTCCAAATCTGAAAGGGGAAAAATAACATAATAATAAAGATCTTTTTCTCTTTTATCACAGACTGAAAATTTAGATATTCAGCACCAAAATTTCTGTATTGAGCATGAACATTTGGAATAAAGAAGAAATATACCAGAAATGACCACTTTAAATTTCCACCAACCAAATTTTCACAAAAAATATCAGTAAGCATGGAAACTAAAAAGGCATTGACAGTTATGTTTTTATTTTCTTGTGACAGAATCTAATCCATATGGAATTCAGTGTGACAACAACAACAAAAATATTTCACCGACGTTCTAGCTGGATTAATAGGGGTTATTTAGAATGTATGTTTTCTTTTCTTTGCAGCCATAACACAAACAACATGTCTGACCATCTAACTGGTCGAAATATCTCGACGCGATGTTGGAACAGTGAAACAAATGCATGTGCGGTATGTGATGAGCGTTAACCTAGACCAACCCTACTTGTTCTCAGTGTTTTATGTAATATGCATACCCCTTGTAATACAAACCAATAATAGCGATTTGAAACTTTTATCCAAAGTTAAATAAAATTCTGAGATTTTAATGTTCAATTGGCAAGGTCAAATTATGGGGATTCGCAATCTTCATTTCACTTTATTTGATTTACTTTTTTGTTTAAATTGATATTTACCGGTACATTTTCAGTGTAAACAGACTATAGTTTAAGATGAAAACTGGAAGTCTGATACATCAGTGAAACGACTCTGGTAAGCAGGGGCGTAGCTGCCATTATGAAAACAAGCCCAGGCTTACACATGATTGTTTTTAAAAAGGTTGGGCAAGCCCTCGATACTATCTAAATATAAAGCTTTGCAACCTATTGGGCTTACACGAAACAAACTGGCTTGCTACGTGCCTGGTAAGGTCTGACTTACTTGACAAAAGCTTTCCTTGGTTTTACTGGCGGCACTTCCTCGTATCTTCCTTTCCGTAAATTTCTGTGAGTCCGGCGTTCTTCATGTTTTGGAGGTGTGTCGAGTCTGTCATACAAACAGCAAGTACATACGATAACTGTCAGCTGGGATGGGACAATGTACAATAAAAGCAAATATATTTAAATAACCAACCCAAACAATAACATGCCAAATACAAATTACAACACAGAATAAAGCCACTAACAAGTCCAGGGGTGGAAATAACCCATTGCCCGACGCCCGAGTCCAGTGTTTTTTTCTGTTGGGCAAACAGCTTTGTATATCACACTGTACCGGTGTCAAGTTGACTTTCCAATATTAATTATGTTGTTTATTTAAAAATTCAACAAGAAAACGGCCGGTATAGTGGAAAAATTATCAGGGCAAGTGATTTTACATGTGCCACTGTACCGGAGTACACTAGCAATTATAAAGTTATTTCCATCCCTGGAGTCGCTAATTGTATCTACCAAATTTGACAGACAGACAGATTAGCAGTACAAATGTTACCTAGGTAAGTTAGGGGGTGTGGCTCGCCTGTACTTGCCATACGGGGGATGGGTGTTTCTGGCAGCCGGTGACCTCCGGCCATAGACCGGGGTCCGGGACTTGGTGGCAGAGCTTTTCCTCCCACTCACTAAATGGGTCCTGATTCGGCGCAAACTGAAAAAGAAGATGTTTTCTTTCAGCTTATATTACATTTTAGTTTCTCAGCGAGCAGCCTTAGATACTACTCCAAAGCAAAAATATGTTCAGTCCAGTAACCTAGCTGATAACTGTCCACATTATAACCGAAAATGCTGCCGAGAGCCAGACTTGGGATACAATCTTAATTGTGGACAGTACACATATCAGAGCATATTGTGTTCGTGTCAATCAAAAACTGCTTATAGCAACAATTTTCAGTAATATTGGTTTTCATTTACAGAAATTCAATAGTTTGAGGAATATGTGTTAGAAGTGCTTAAACAAGGCTCGATTTAAGAGTTGTTAACCTACTTGCACAAGGTGCAACCTAAAATTAAAATCTAGCTGCACCAGACAAATTCCAGTTGCACTGCTTTTATAGCAGCATGTAATGAAAGAAATATGCTTTTGAATTACGTTAATGTTTTATTCAGAAGTTTACCCACTCAAAAAATTTACTTATACTTATACTAAAATTTAGTTATACTAATAGCTAGGTTGCATTTTGTAATATTGGGTTGCACCAGTGCAAGGAACAAAGCTCTAAATCGAGCCGTGTTAAAAGTAACATGAACTAATGTGTATGTGTATGGATAAATAAAAAACAGTGGATAAACAACTATGGTGGTGGTGGTGTTGGAATTGGGTTTAACGTCGTGCTTGAGAATATTTCGCTCATATGACGACGTGCATGCGTGTGTATGTGCGGCTGCTTGTACTAGCCCAGACTGAAGCTGGTTTGATAGTGCTAGCCCACTGAGATACCATGCCGCAGTGAAGCATGAATACCCCACTCAGACACATTATACTGACTCCGAGCCGACCAGTCCTTGTTGTACCCACTAATGCCGAGCGCCAGGCAGGGACCAACAAGTACCATATTTTAACGTCTTTTGGTATGACGTGGTCGGGGATCAAACCCGCGACCTTCCGCACTCCGGGCGGATGCTCTAACCACTACATCACGGAGGCGGTCAAACAACTATGGACAACTGAAATTAATTTAATGCTTAATAATAATATAGTCAGATCCATGAAATGTTTAAAAATATATTGTTTGCACCCTGATTCATTGACTGTCGTAACAAAGGTAATCCTAATTAAAGTGGCAGTGAATTCTTAATTCAATCTCTGCATTCAACCCGTGAAGATCCAGGTTAGGATATTGATCTTCAGTAACCCATGCTTGTCGTAAGAGGCCACTAACGGGATCGGGTGGTCAGGCTTGGTGACTTAGTTGACACATAGCATGGGTTCCCAATTATGTATATCGATGCTCATGCTGTTGATCACTGGATTGTCTGGTCCAGGAATATTGCTGAGTGCAGCGCAAAACTAAACTCACTCACTCACTACATTCATCAATCAATAGAGCATCTGATATAGACTCAAAGTTACCATATCATTACAGAAATATTGATATAACAATATCACGACATATAAGATGACATACAAATTGTTTAATCCTGAAGTTGGTGAGTCAATAATGAAACATAAAACTTTATGGAGAACCAAAATTTGTAACACATGATTACAGAAAAATTTATACATCACGATATAAGATGACATTCCTATTTATGATAGGTAATTACTCGAAAATCTCTACTGGCTGCAGAACAGTTATCGCCGCGTAACAGTTATCGCCAAAACATCAGTATCACACGTGCGCAGTTTCGGTCAATTACACTTTCGGTATTTTTTTACACGGTATTTGACAACAATAAAGGTCAGCAAAATAAAATTCTTCATGGTAAGTAACATAAGAGAAAAATAAAAGATAACGTTATGAAACATACAAAAAGGTTAACTCAGTCTAGGGGGATGTCACATGATCTATATAATAGCAAGTTCAAGTTCATAAAAGTCTTTAATTGTTTCATTGCCTTTCAATCTACTGTGAAAAAACTCCACACATCACACAATCAATTATTTGAGTTTTTTTATGATATAAATATATGTTATTTCACGAATGACATGAGGAATCCTGAAATGGTGATAACTGCTACAGTTAATTGTGAGGAAACACCCATTTGTCCTGTCATGATTCCCTTCCGCCGCGTTTTATAAAAACATGATCAGCGGCAGTGATCGGGCTGGACACATCGGTGAAGAGCTAATTAAGTATTACGATTAATTTTGTTTCATTAATTTAACGAACGGCGGAGTAATTTTGTAAATACTGCTAAAATATGGCGATAACTGTTCAGCAGCGAGTACAGCAACTTCAAAATTATCAGCTGTTTCATTAATAATGCAGTCTAAAAAATATGCCTGTGACAAAATGCCATAAGAATATATGTATGATTTTACATATTTTGATAAGATAGAATATGTAAAATTCAGCCCCCGGGTAATTTTGAATGGTAGACAGTTACTTCATCAAAATGTGGGATTTCTCTGAATGGCATGTCCATTATAAACTTGTGATCCCGTGAAGAAAGACAGCTTTTGTCTGAATATTTTCCCATGGACAGTGGAAATCACCTTAAAATAAAAATCAATGACAACTGACAACCAGGTTACTTTATTTGTTGACTGGCATTTTGGTACCGGCCTTTTCCTCCTGGCAGTACGAGGATGAGGCTGTTGTTGGCGTTATGTCCGCCTGGTCTAAACTGTGACACACTAACTCAATTAGTAACTGACAGTCTGACTCTGAGAGTCGCTGTGGCGTGCAGCTCTGGAATGCGCGAAGAAAGGCGATTCGATTCAAGCACGGCTTTCACACTTACGAATCTTGGTGTTCCCTCCAAAAGTGTTCTTTAGCTTCTACCGACATAATCCACGGGTGTCACATCGTCTGCGATGTCCCAGACGGTGTATATCATAAAGTCGAAGTACTCAAATAAGTCTCTCGTAAAGTTGTTTACATGCCGCCATGGATGCCGAAGCGCCGTCTTGTGTCCAAAGGGGAATAACTCTGCTCCAGAAAATCGCATTCCACTAATATTTTTAGGCTGAAGGATGGGATGTTTTCGTCGATGACATCTGTTTGGGTTTTTGGAAAAGATAATTTAAACTTTTCCGGCGAAAGGAGATATTATGCTGTAATACACGCTATATTGTTGAGATATGGTTCCTGGAATTCTGTGAAAGCAATAATGATTAGAACTTTTCTTAAAGCCTATTTTCTCTTTTTTTCTCGTTTTTGTTCTGTTTTATTTTTATTTAAGTGCTCTGTTTGTTTCCTATATTTGCCTTATTGTCTTTACTTTTGTTGTTTTTCTTTCCTATTTTTCATTTAATTTCTTTCTTTATATATTTATTTGTGGGGCAGTCCAGTGGCTATTTAAAGCGTTCGCTCGTCACGCCGAAGACGGGATATCGATTCCCTTCATGGGTACAATGTGTGAAGCCTATTAGTCATGTCCCCCTACATGATATTGTTGGAACATTGCCAAAAACGGAGTAAAACCATACTCACTCACTCACTCATGCCTATCTACAAGAATTATGTTGGGAACGGCCCACCATACACACCTAGCGATTCATTCCTGGAAACTCCGCTAGAGTACCCGTTAATAAATCACGTGATTGAAAACAGATGACGTCAACATCAAGTTAACTTTCGAAGCATATAAGATAGATCGAGGACTCTTTGCCAATAGGGATGCAGCAAAAATCACCTTTTGAATACACAACCTACATGAACTTAAATTTAGAACCTTCTGCCCTCGAAATACCGTCCTAACCAATCGGAAATAACTCTTTACTTATCAGCTTGTTACAGAACGGATTATACCAGTTGTGAGTTGCATGTGTAAATGTTTAATGAACCAGAGCCGTGTGCAATTTAGACAAATGCATTCAGATCAGATCGTGTTCAACTTCGAAAATGCATCCATGACATGCTGATTGTCAAATGGCACGTTTCCCCGCCAGCAAAGAGTAATGAGCAACTTATTGATCGGAAATAACTGATATTTTACGCGCTCTTGCGTAGAGTGAGTACGTCGTGTACGTATGTAGAGTGAGTACGTCGCGCACGTATGTAGAGTGAGTACGTCGCGCACGTATGTAGAGTGAGTACGTCGCGCACGTATGTAGAGTGAGTACGTCGCGCACGTATGTAGAGTGAGTACGTCGTGCACGTATGTAGAGTGAGTACGTCGCGCACGTATGTAGAGTGAGTACGTCGCGCACGTATGTAGAGTGAGTACGTCGTGCACGTATGTAGAGTGAGTACGTCGTGCACGTATGTAGTGAGTACGTCGTACGCATGTAGAGTGTATGTAGAGTGAGTACGTCGCGCACTTATGTAGAGTGAGTACGTCGCGCACGTATGTAGAGTGAGTACGTCGTGCACGTATGTAGAGTGAGTATGTCGTGTACGTATGTAGAGTGAGTACGTCGGGCATGTATGTAGAGAGTACGTCGTGCACGTATGTAGAGTGAGTACGTCGTGCACGTATGTAGAGTGAGTACGTCGAGCACGTATTCACACTGGATCCACAGGATTTTGAGACACATCAGATTTTGTTGTTTTCAGGCAATGGTGCTTTGTGCATTCATCTAATTATGCACATAAAAATATAAACTGTGAAAACTCCATAAAAAGTATTAAATTTTAATTAGGTCGATAACTGAAATCAGTTTAACAAACCTGAATACATATATTAGGTAAAGTACATTTCGATCATGGCCCTTTATTTGTTTTAACATCTACATCGCTAAGGAAATGAGTTGGTTCAATCTGGCCTCAGTTTCGAATGTGTTAAAGGTGATCAGAGCTCCAGCCTATGGCCTCATACAGTTTTATACATAACATTTAATCCTTTGTGTGTGAGTGAGTGAGTGAGTTTGGTTTTACGCTGCTTTTAGCAATATTCAGGTAATATAACGACGGGGAACACCACAAATGGGCTTCACACATTGTACCCATGTGGGGAAGCCACCCGGGTCTTCTGCGTGACGAGCGAACGCTTTAACCACTAGGCTACCTTGCCGCCCCATATCATCCTTTGACCCAGTCTCAAGCACATGATACTCTGTCATTAGTCAGCACACTGAGAATGTAAGGCTGCTTTCGCTTCTTTTGTGTCAAATGCTGCCGGGTGATTTGTTTTCCCGCTCCAAGTTGGAAGATTAAATTGTCCTCATCGCTCAAAGCGTTGTATGTTGGTTTGAAAGCTGGTAACATGTAAACAAAGTTGTCAAGGACCAAAGGTTTTGTTTGGTTGTTGTGTTGACACGCCACTGTGGCATCTACTGGGTGGTCAATGTGCTATCTACTTTAAACACCCGCTGGGGTTCATAATATCAATTACTGGTCTCGAAGCAAGGGGCACGTCAGACTCAAGGCATCAGATTCGAGATATACCAGTCTAAACATGGCACATAGTCATGGGGACACAACCGTCTCAAGGGGCACATCAGACTCGAGGCTTACCAGTCTAAACATGGCACATAGGTCATGGGGACACACCACTCACAAGGGGCACGTCAGACTCAAGGCATCAGATTCGAGATATACCAGTCTAAACATGGCACATAGTCATGGGGACACACCAGTCTCAAGGGGCACGTCAGACTCAAGGCATCATATTCGAGATATACCAGTCTAAACATGGCACATAGTCATGGGGACACACCACTCTCAAGGGGCACCCCAGTATCAAGGGACACACCATACTCGAGATATACCAGTCTAAAGGTGGCACATAAGTCAAGGGAACATATCGCTCTCAAGGGGCACACTAGACTCGAAACATACCAGTCTACCAGTCTAGGTGGCACATAAGTCATAAGGGACACACCACTATCAGGGGCACATCAGACTCGAGGCATACCAGTCTAAAGGTGGTACATAAGTCATGGGGACACACCACTCTCAAGGGGCACATCAGACTCGAGGCTTACCAGTCTAAAGGTGGCACATAAGTCACGGGGACACACCACTCACAAGGGGCACATCAGACTCGAGGCTTACGAGTCTAAAGGTGGCACATAAGTCACGGGGACACACCAGTATCAAGAGGCACACCAGACTCGAGGCATACCAGTCTAAAGGTGGCACATAAGTCATGGGGACACACCACTCTCAGGGGGCACATCAGACTCGAGGCATACCAGTCTAAAGGTGGCACATAAGTCATGGGGACACACCACTCTCAGGGGGCACATCAGACTCGAGACTTACGAGTCTTAAGGTGGCACATAAGTCATGGGACACACCACTCTCAAGGGGCACATCAGACTCGAGGCTTACCAGTCTAAAGGTGGCACATAAGTCATGGGAACACACCAGTATCATGGGGCACACCAGACTCGAGGCTTACCAGTCTAAAGGTGGCACATAAGTTATGGGAACACACCAGTATCATGGGGCACATCAGACTCGAGGCTTACCAGTCTAAAGGTGGCACATAAGTTAGGGGGACACACCAGTATCAAGGGGCACACCTCACTCGAGGCTTACCAGTCTAAAGGTCGCACATAAGTTATGGGGACACACCAAGGAGGGCTAAGCCGTAGGGAAAATAATGTGGATCAGGGACTGTGATGTTAATGACGTTGCCAGATACATGTATTGCCGTCAGATATCTGGAATATGGCTGGGCGGCCGTTTACCAGCAAACATGCGAATCATAGGGTCAGTAAACATATAGCTCCGAAGTATGGTGGGGTCAGTAAGTGAGTATGGTTTTACGCCGCTATATTCCAGCGACGGGGACACGAACAATGGCTTCAAATGTGTGCCCCTGACACAGACGAGAGGAATAATTAGGTTGAGATTGCATTCGCATCTTCATACGCTGTTCCTTTCCACGAAAAGCGGCGGCGGGGTAGCCTAGTGGTTAAAGCGTTCGCTCGTCACGCCGGAGACCTGGGTTCAATTCCCCACATGGGCACACTGTGTGAAGCCCATTTCTGGTGTCCACCGCCGTGATATTGCTGGAATATTGCTGAAAGCGGCGTAAAACTAAACTCACTCACTCACTCCTTTTCACGAATAGTGGCGGCGGGGTAGCCTAATGGATAAAGCGTCTGCTCGTCACGCTGAAGACCCGGGTTCGATTCCCCACATATGGGTACTATATGTAAAGCCCATCTCAGATGTCCCCATCCGTGATATTGTAGGAATACTGCTCAAAGAGGCGTAAAACCATACTCACTCACTCACTTTTCACGAATAAAACCTTTAGAAACAATCTTGATTTTTCAGTTTCAGCTGTAGTGTCAGTGTGACCTATAATAATCATTTGTGCACCCCGTTGCTTGCACTTCCTGAATCCGTGTTTTAACAAAACATGTTTCTTCTAACACCACATAATTTATACGATTTTAATTGGTGACCCAGAAGGAAATGAAAACTAGAGATGAATTGTTCATGCAGCTTTAAACAAACTCACTGACTGAAGTTTAGTTGAACTTTAGTTTCGGCTAGATAGTTTTCTTAAGTTTATTTCACGAGGTCATGGGACTTACGAATGCTTACATAGAACCTTGACCTTGATAACCACCAATACCATCCTGCTGCTGACGTGTGTTGTTATGTGTCCATTTTCCAGTTGAAAGACTACTTTAACTAGAAGTTTCCACATTAGCTATAGGTTAACTCGATATCTATATTTAAAAAAACTCCATGTGGAACCAACAGGTGATTGAGTTTAGTTTTACGCCGCTTTTAGCAATATTCCAGCAATATCACGGCGGGGGACACCAGAAATGGGCTTCACACATTGTACCCATGTGAAGAATCGAACCCGGGTCTTCGGCGTGACGAGCGAATGCTTTAACCACTAGGCTACCCCACCGCCCCTGCAGAACCAAAAAAACCCAAAACTGTATACAGTTAGCAATTACATTTTTAAATTGAGTTTACAATTCAATACCAAATTTCAGCAAAGGAATTACAGTGGCAGAACATACAACGGCAGTACAAATACAAATGCAGTGTTATCTAGACTCAGTAATTATAGCCACAAAGACAGTGAGTGAGGGAGTCACTTTGGTTTTACGCCGCTTTTAGCAATGTTCCAGCAATATCACGGCGGGGACATCAGAAATGGGCTTCACACGGTGTGCCCATGTGGGGAATTGAACCCGGGTCTTCGGCGCAAAGAATGAAGGCTGTGATGGCAATATTCACCTCGCTGCCAAGCTTCCAAAAGAGACCCAAGTCGGGTGTCCTGGTGAAAAGGCATATTAAAAAGTCTCTGTTCTTTATTTACTGGGACATTTCTCGTGTCCCCGGTCGTGATATTGCTGGAACATTGCTAAAGTCGGCGTAAAACCATACTCACTTACTGACTCTCTCACTCACTCACTAGATTCCCCACATGGGTACAATGTGTGAAGCCCATGCCATTTCTGGTGTCCCCCGTCGTGATATTGCTGGAACATTGCTAAAGTCGGCGTAAAACAATTCTCACTCACTCACAGACTCTCACTCACTCACTCCCTAGGTTCCTCACAGGGGTACAATGTGTGAAGCCTATTTCTGGTGTTCCCTATCGTGATATTTGCTGGAACATTGCTTAAAGCGGCGTAAAAGCCTTACTCACTTACTCAACCAATCAACCACTCACTCACTCTATTTACCTGAAAGCGCTTCCCGGAATTTCTTTACACAGTTGATATTCTTGACCCCCAGTCTAATATAATAACTACATCTGAGGTCGACTGAAATAGTAACTGAAACAATGTAATAAAAAGATACAACGCTGTTCCACAACGATTTACACTTCCATGTGAACAAAGCCCGTGAAAGTTCATCATTAAACTCTTTAATAACACAGGTGGGAAAACCCAATTGTCCAGCGACGGGACACGAGCAATGGCTTCAAATGTGTGCCCCTGACACAGACGGGAGGAATAATTAGGTTGAGATTGCATTCACATCTTTATACGCTGTTCCTTTTCACGAGGGGCGGTGGGGTAGCCTAGTGGTTAAAGCGTTCGCTCGTCACGCCGAAGACCTGGGTTCGATTCCCCACATGGGTACACTGTGTGAAGCTCATTTCTGGTGTCCCCCGCCGTGATATTGCTGGAATACTGCTAAAAGCTGCGTAAAACCATACTCACTCACTCACCATTCTTGTTGGCAGAGCATAGAATCTCAGCTAGCATAGAATCTCTGCGTTAAATAACCTAAAGAAAAAATACGAAAACGATATTGTCTCTGCTTTGCTCCATTGTCATCGGCCACAGTTCGTGTACAGAGAATTTGGAAATGCGCATAATGAACGAAGCATTCATTTAAGTACTAACTTCCTTGGATTTTCATGATACTAAGTTGAATTTTCAAGAAAGGATGCTGAATTTTCAAGATAGTAAGTTGAATTTTCAACATAAAAGATGCTGAATAATAGCGTAGCGTGGCCCTAAGAAAGATGACATTCATATCCTCGATACGTTCAGGGCCAGAAGACTCGCTCGCCTTTTACGCGCTCGCCTGGGCTACAATAATTCGTGTCTGCGGATTTCATTTCTAACTTCCTTTTCCCCAACTGTGTCTACCTGTTCACAGAAACAAATGTTTGAATTATTGTCAGTTGTTGACAGTGTAACTATGATTTCAAATGTCTTTTCTCCTCTTAGTTCTGGTATGATTGTTATTCTCGTCTCTTGCCTTGATCGACACATCTTATGATGTGTTAGGCCACATAAAATACATATCTGTTTCTCATCACTTTTAACAAAAATGGGTAGATAGGGCGGTTAAATGTTTTTGTTTTTTTCTCGTTTTCTATACAATGTTAGTCAAAAACTTGGAATGCCGGAAGCTGAGACGGATTTCGGAAGTCTGTCGGCTTTATAAACGCAAATTTGTCAGTGCAAAAAAATATATACGAAATTCAGGGTGGGGCGGTAATGAGAAACAATATATTATGCTTATGTGGCCTTACTATCCATTGACTGGATCTGAATTTGTTAGCGTGTCAATTTATGTGTCTAAATTAATCACGTCGCGCCACTGTATGTTTGCCTTCACCACGAATGTTGATCAATCTCGTAAGTTTTGTCTGTTTTGATTTACGTAATTGATGCTGATGAAAATTTCGTTGATACCAAGTTTTCTTTATCCAATTTAAGGATTGCCTCGGTGGGCAATACAGACAGACAGACAATACGTATACTTTATTACCTTTAAAGGAATTCGTTTTGTATCACAGAGCTTGACAAAAATACAAATGGATAACATATAATATAAAATTATTAAAAACATAAAAAGAGATCAATATGAGCTTGAATATAATTAAATGAATAAGATGATAACTGGACATTCAACATTTGTTTAAAATTGCAATACTTTGAGGTACGAAAGACGTTCGAGCTCGTTTAGTCTTGGTGATTGGCACTGTATAGCGGCGGCCCGAAGGTAAAAGCTTATACTCTAGTTTTAAAAATAAACCGTGTTGTGTCATTAATGATTTGAAAGTACGTTGAAACTACTTGCCGCCCATAGAGAAGTGAAAGATTATCGAAAGTGACCCCGGCTATTTTACTGGCTGTATTTACAATTTGTTAAGTTTTGATTAGTTTTTGACTGAAAGAGACTCGAACCAGCACTGAGAAGAAAAAGTGAGTATACTCTGAATAAAAGTGGTATAAAACAACATCATAACAGATTGGGAAACATTAAAAGATCGCAATTTGATGGATGCGTTGTTGACATTTACTGTACAGAGCATCTGTTAACTTTGGTATTCCACGTTTACTTTGGTATTCCATGTATGTTAACCTTGGTATTCCACGTTATACTTCAAGGCATGCAAGACACGGGAAATGATTACAGGACCATGGTGACATATGTATCATATCAACACTGGTTAATAACTAAAGTATACAGGAAACCAGCGAGCATAAATATTAAATACAGGCCACCATTCGCTCTGCACTTGCATTTCAGAGTGAGTAAGTGAGTGAGTTTAGTTTTTACGCCTCACGACCGCACGGCTCCCACGACCGAAAGCTGTGATTACACAATGCCATTTAGAAAGTGGTCAGTAACATATGTTATATTTGGGATTACACTTTCTTAGTAAAGGTGCCTAACTCTGAGGGTGTGGGTTCGAATCCAGGATGGAACTCAACCCCAAAAGTACTAGAATCTGTACTTTAATAAGAAAGTGTAATCCCAAATATAACAAATGTCAGTTAAAACTTTTTGCCACGAATTCCCGATTACTCAAAAATTGCAAGAACTGACTGCGACTATATTACGAATTAGTTAAGAACTTCACGAACTGATTACGATTCAACTGCAAATTCTCACATTTGTCAATTCGTTTCGATTCGTGGTCTGTGTAGAATAGGGGGCATTATGTATCCGTTTCCGGATTAGCTCCACAGCCGGAGAATGAATTGTGAACCTTGAGTAAATAAACAGAATAAGTAGCAAACACAACAATACTCACATCTCTAGAAATTATGAGAAAAGACAAATCCATAAACACAGTATTTCCTGCTGTCAATATGCACACAGAATAAATCAGCTCAGGAGCGAATGTTCTTGCGATAACAATGTGCTTCTTCCTGTGGTATATCGTGACTTTTTTGTGGTTTAATTATTGTAGTGAGAAAGATACAGTGAAACCTGTCTAAACCAGACCGAAATAAAATGCCGGTTCAGACAGGGTGCCGGATTAGACAGTGACGATCATTTTCCAACATGGCTGCCATTTACACTCGTAAATCCAATCTGTATTTATTTACTGTCTGACACATGTATATGTGTGTGTATATGCACGTTGGGAGATATATTACTGGAGTCAATTATTTAATAGTGGATGAGCCAAGTTATTTTGGACACTGGAAATATTCATTCACTCTCTCATTCAGACGAATGTAGATATCTTCAGTCAAACCTAACCAGGACATTCGCCGGGGAGATTGTGGTCGATAATGATCGTACAGTCCTCACTAGTCCTCGTAAGTCCTCACACGTACTCACCAGTCCTTACAAGTACCTACCCGTCCTCGCATGTCCTCTCAAGTACCTATCCGTCCTCCCATGTCCTCTCAAGTACCTACCCGTCCTGGCATGACCTCGCACGTACCTATCCGTCCTCGCATGTCCTCGCTCCTACCTATCCGTCCTCCCATGTCCTGGCTCGTACCTATCCGTCCTCGTCTGTCCTCTCAAGTACCTACCCGTAATCGCATGTCCTCTCAAGTACCTACCCGTCCTCGCATGTCCTCGCTCCTACCTATCCGTCTTCCCATGTCCTGGCTCGTACCTATCCGTCCTCGCATGTCCTCTCAAGTACCTACCCGTCCTCGCATGTCCTCGCTCCTACCTATCCGTCTTCCCATGTCCTGGCTCGTACCTATCCGTCCTCGCATGTCCTCTCAAGTACCTACCCGTCCTCGCATGTCCTGGCACGTACCTATCCATCCTTGCATGTCCTCGCTCGTACCTATACGTCCTCGCATGTCCTCGTTCGTACCTATCCGTCCTCGCATGTCCTATCAAGTACACATCCGTCCTCATACGTGATCACTCGTCCTCTCTAGTACCTATCCGTCCTCGCATGTCCTCTGAAGTACATATCCGTCCTCGTACGTCATCACTCGTCCTCTCTAGTACCTATCCGTCCTCGTACGTGCTCGCATGTCCTCGCTCGTCCTCACAAGTACCTACCCATCCTCGTATGTTTTTACACGTATTCACGCCTACCTACCCGTAGTCATACTTCCTCAGACTACTCATCCTATTGGAGAAATAAAGATCATTCATTCCTTCATTCCTTCATTCCTTCATTCATTCATTCATTCATTTTCAACAAACCATATTCAATGCGTCCCTTTCCAGTTTCAGTGGCCGGATGACAATGACATCTTTTAATTCCAACATTGATTGGATTCAGTTCATGTTGGGATATCATGCTCCAAGCGTAGAGATCCCTGTATCGAGTTTCAATGCTGCTATTCAGAAATACAGATTCTGCCTTCATGGAATCGATATGTGAAAGCATGAATAATTCATTCACTGGGGTATAGTGAGATTCGGTCGCGTTGCAAGACATGCTATGTGTTGATACTGTGTTGTGAATATTTCTATCGGATCAATAACATGTATTTTGATGACTTGGAGCATTGCATCATAGTTACGTCCCTTGATCAGGGGAATTATAGATACGTTACTATTGGTCTGAGTCATTACATGATAGGTCCCTTGATCAGGGGCTTTATAGATACGTTACTATTGGTCTGAGTCATTATAAGATACGTCTCTTGATCAGGGGCATTATAGGTACGTTACAATTGTTCTGAGTCATTAAAAGATACGTCCCTTGATCAGGGGCATTATAGATATGTCACTATTGGTCTGAGTCATTAAAAGATACGTCCCTTGATCAGGGGCATTATAGATACGTTACTATTGGTCTGAGTCATTATAAGATACGTCCCTTGATCAGGGGCATTATAGATACGTTACTATTGGTCTGAGTCATTACATGATACGTCCCTTGATCAGGGGCATTATAGATATGTCACTATTGGTCTGAGTCATTAAAAGATACGTTCCTTGATCAGGGGCATTATAGATACGTTACTATTGGTCTGAGTCATTATAAGATACGTCCCTTGATCAGGGGCATTATAGATACGTTACTATTGGTCTGAGTCATTATAAGATACGTCCCTTGATCAGGGGCATTATAGATACGTTACTATTGGTCTGAGTCATTACATGATACGTCCCTTGATCAGGGGCATTATAGATATGTCACTATTGGTCTGAGTCATTAAAAGATACGTTCCTTGATCAGGGGCATTATAGGTACGTTTCTATTGATCAGCGTCATTATAAGATACGTCTCTGTTGATCTAGTTTATTTAATAATTTCAGATGCACTCGTATACACAGTGAGAATGACGGTAATAGAGATGGCGAGATGATCTCCTCTGATGCATGGTGTGTCGCTTCCATCACATATCTGATATGGTGCTGGTGATGCTTCTCCTGGTTCAGTGGCTGCTGTTGAGAAAATAAAACAAATTTAGTCTACATTTTTATAATGCAATGTATAGTGTGGGTACTTGCAGTCTTAAAGCTCTTCTAGCGTCAAAAGGGGCAGTGTGATAGCTTAGTGGGTAAAGCGTTCGCTCGTCACGCCGAAGACCCGGGTTCGATTCCCCACATGGGTACAATGGGTACATGTGAAGCCCACCCTGGTGTCCCCCGTCGTGATATTCCTGGAATATTGCTAAAACCCAACTCACTCACTCCAGCGTTTAAACGTTCCTAGTTTCAAAGCCAAGACTTTGGCCTTGGCGAATATGTTGTGGCCTCTTTCATGTTCAGCTGAAGAAGAAACCTATGACCGTGGGTTCGTATCTCGGATTCGCTCCAACCATATTTCTCAGTTTGCCTACACCATGCCCATATTCAGGGGTTTCGTGGATGCTGAACGCCTGAGACATGCATCACGTGATTTTCCTCCACGTGAAGCTGATACGCAGTGATGTAACTGAAATCATTTCTCCGGGTTAAATCAACTTCTATCCTAATGAATTTGTTCCTCGTCATTAAAAAATATACACCCGCTTAACCTTGAACCGTGGATATAAGGGAAATGCGTCGAAAATCAATATTTTAAATGCACGATTTCATTTGATTATTGACTGTTTGATTATTTGACTGATTATTTTATTCATTGATTCAGTAAGTTGAAAATGCCTGATATTCCACTCGTGAATGAAATGTTTGTTTACCGAACCCATTTGCAATCATCACCCTTTCGTGTGCACACAAAATGTGACGTCACCTTGTTTCGTGGATTACGTCGGTTATTATATATCACTAAGCATATTGCAGTAAGTATTGACACCTGGAAAAGCAGACGACGAGATGTGAGAAGGTTGGTGCTTACTGTGTCGTTTTACTTGACACTTTGTAAAAAAATAGAACTTGGTATTAGTGGCATTTGTGATCTTGGACTATTTATCTCAGTGCTGGACAATTAGATTCATGGCTATCCACGAATTTAGGTTACGGTTCTGTATACGAAATTGTGTCAGCTTCCTCTTGCCTAATTAGTACTAATAATTTCTATTGACGGTCGACACCGGAGAATAATCACTCTCAACTGTATGATGAAATAGATTTAAATAGGCGTAAATGCTGTAACAGTAGTGATAACACTGAAGGGATGCATGAAAACAGTTACTATAGTTTGGCATGAAATGCATGTGGACCCGTTTTTTGTAAATATCTCTTCATCCAATGACCCAATCGATCTTAAACTGTGCAAGTGGATGTTTTTTCAGACAACCTAATCACATTGTAAATCACCGATTTTATGCATTTGTATTAAAGAATCTGTCTATGTAACTGTCAACAAAATAAACAGCAGAACGCAGAATGCTTGCAGAGGGAGGGAGCCAATGACCCGTAACAGCGTCAGTGTTGGGTCATAAAGGTCAATGCACGTGCAGTTCATGATAGTTACCTGTGCACTGCACAGTGATAGACCGTTTGGATCATTCACATTGACTACTTCTAGCTGTCATCATGAAAGCTTATTCAGATGATGCTAAACGGTTAATTAGAAATGTGTTGAATATTTTTTAAAAAGAGAACAAACGTAGCAAACCGATTTATAAGGTGTCGGATTATATGAAACTACAACTTTTGCTCTTGGCATGAAAAGAACATCGTGCTAAAAATTGTGAAAAATAAACCCACAACCAATAAACAAAACCTTGTACAAAAAGGTAGGCATCCAAAGTTAGATTCTTTTGACATCAGGGTCATCAGAGATGTCTTTCGCCGGCTATTTCCAAAATTTAAAGATTTAAACCTACAGAATAATTCTCACTAATGGGTTTTGTGGTTAATGATGAACAACTCAGAGAAACAAACTCCGTATGATGGTTAACAGTTGACACCCACCTTACCCTATTCACGACCTGTGACACCTCTTCATATCTGTCACGTGCATAGCTGACCTACATTGACGAACGTTGACCTTTATGACCCAACACTGACGCTGTTACAGGTCATTGGCTCCCGCCCTCTGCAAGCATTCTGCGTTCTGCTGTTTATTTTGTTGACAGTTACATAGACAGATTCTTTAAAACAGATGCATAAAATCGGTGATTTACAATGTGATTAGGTTGTCTGAAAAAACATCCACTTGCACAGTTTAAGATCGATTGGGTCATTGGATGAAGAGATATTTACAAAAAACGGGTCCACATGCATTTCATGCCAAACTATAGACATGTTGTGAGTATGGTTTTACGCCGCTTTTAGCAATATTCCAGGATAATCATGGCGGGGGACACCAGATATAGGCTTCACATGTACACATTGTACCCATGTGGGGAATCGAACACGGGACTTCGACGTGACGAGCGAACGCTTTAACCACTAGGCTACCACACTGCCCTACAAAACAAATAGAATTTATGTCAAAGAATCCATAGCAACAATATAACTCACCCGAAATCAGTTGGTCAAGATGGCCGCATCTTTGACTCTGGTTCTTATCAACGCTGTTGAAGGTTATAGTCACGTTTCCGAAATGACCCTCGCGTAGCTGCAACGTTACCACGAGTGTCTCGTTCGCCATTTCGGTAACGAACTTACTGATGGAGATTATTTGAATATTTCCAACAACCAGGGCAATCCTTGCAAGCTCGGTCGAGAAGTAGTCGTTGATGTTCACCGTCAGCGTGATGACATCATCAACTCTAAGTGCACTTGTATTCCTATCGCCAGTCATGGTGCATGATGGTCCCTCTGAAATGAGAGGGTTTATCGAACCTTGAATAACACGATCAATTTACGAACGTCGACACAAGAGTGGTTGACTGTATCTCTATATTATTATTATCAGCTATATAGGATATTTGTTATAGGATGTAGATATAGTGTAGATATCCACGCAACTAGTGCATGCTCAAGTCGCTGGTATTTTCCCCTCGATCATTGGACATCAGTCTCAACGGCACATCGTATTATCAATCTCAACTCCCCAGGGATCATACAACTCTTGCAGCCATTTCGGCTTCTTCATCCTTACGAGGTACCCATTCACAGCTGGGCTGACTGGGACACATTGTCACAGTAATTGGTCAAATTTACTGCACGTTGCTGTACCTGCAACTAGGTGTTTGCACGTATTCTTGTGGCCACCATCTGGTCATAACCATCGGATTCGTGGGTTCTTTTAAGTGCACAGGGTTGTGTACTTTACACTAGGGGTTGGGACAACACCGAAAGAGTCTGCACACAAAGTTGACTCCAAGGTTTTTACACCTGGTCACAAGTGGGCTCGATCCCGACACATTAAGATCGCTGGATTACTAGCCTGGAGCCTTAGCCAGCTCGCCCACCACGCCCCGCACAGACTCGTAAAACAGTGCAATGACTGACAACCTTCTGTGGGGTGATGTATAATTATTTGTTAACAACACGTGTACTATTTTACGTGTTTCCTAGGGTAACTTATACCTACTTGCAATGACGACGTTACACGTTGTTGGCGTTGTAGAGTCTGCATCGTTGACACACTTCCACACACCTGCATGTGTCTTAAGTGCATGGGGTATTGTCAGAGCACTGTGACTGGCATTGAGGACAGCTGACTTGAAGTTTCCAAAGTTTATACACTGTCCGTCATTCAGATCGCACGAGGCAGCAGTATTTCCACCAGGTGTCGAGTAGGCGTGCGCGTGGGCCGCACCAGCTCCAATGCAAGTCAAGGTCACAACAGAACCCAGCTCGCTGATTGGTGGACAGATAAGTTCAGTTGTACCTGAGATTTAAATGTTGACAGTAAATGTACGGAGAGGTTGGAAAACAAGTAAAAGGTAAAAGCCAGCGTGTTGTAAAGACAAATAAAACCGCGAACCATATGTTCACGTTTCCTTGTATATGAGTGAGTGAGTTTAGTTTTTCGCCGCTCTCAGCAATACTTCAGCTATATGGCGGTGGTCTGTAAATAATCGAGTCTTGTATCCAGTGATTAACAGCATGAGCATCGATCTATGCAATTGGGTGAGTGAGTGAGTTAAGATTGAGCGTCACATTGGCAATATTGCAGCCATATCGTGAAGATAACAACTTAATTTATATCAATATTAAAATCACTAAATTTAGAATGTAAAAAAATGTCATCAAAGGACAGAAAAAATACTAGATTATCACAGGTCTTAATTCAAACCTAGTACGCATTCATAAAAATAGATCACTAGAGACAAGAGTACAATATAAAAACGGGCTATAGATCACCAGCGACTGAAGGTTGATCACCATACTAGGGACCATGGGAACTAACAGTACCTTGCTGAAATCATTTTGATTTTCTTTGTCTTATCCACAGTCAGATACTAAAACAATAGTACTTGAATACAGTGATCTCAAAATAAAATGCTTCATAAGTGATATAAAAGGAAAGGGCTTTGAACAATATGTTATAGTGGTTGTTTAAAGATGATTTGGAAATTGGGGTATTGTTACAAGTGAAGGCGAGATTTGTACTGGAATGTTGGGAACAAAGTTTTTTTAATAAGAAAGATAGCGAGGTGAGAGAAAGATACAATGCAAAGAAAAAATTGGAATATTGTTACAGAAGAATGCTAAATTTGTACCATATTGGAAACAAAAAAATTATGGATAGGAAAAATATAGAGGAAAGGGAGAAATAAAAACAATGAAAAGGACGACATAGACGTTTGTGTGTAGGAAAAAAGTAAAGATAATTTTTAAAAAAGAAAAAAGAAAAGAATTTAGAGTTAAAAACCAAGAAAAAGGGTGGACTTCTCCACCTCTCTTCCAAACCCAGCTATTATTCGTTATCATTGATATGCACATATATTTTTCATCATTCAATAAGGAAAAGAAGTTAGTGTATTGATTTGATAAAAATGTACCGGCTATGACAACCTCGTTCGTGCGGTATAAAAGCATAACAAATGGGATAATGTATAGATTACGGACAAAATATTTAACCTTAGTTAGATTCAAATGTAAATAGTAACTAATGTGAAGAGTCCTATCAACTAAGTTAGATTCAAATGTAAATAGTAACTAACGTGAAGAGTCCTATCGACTAAGTTAGATTCAGATTTAAATAGTAACTAACGTGAAGAGTCCTATCATCTAAGTTAGATTCAAATGTAAATAGTAACTAACGTGAAGAGTCCTATCAACTAAGTTAGATTCAGATGTAAATAGTAACTAACGTGAAGAGTCCTATCAACTAAGTTAGATTCAGATGTAAATAGTAACTAACGTGAAGAGTCCTATCGACTAAGTTAGATTCAGATGTAAATAGTAACTAACGTGAAGAGTCCTATCGACTAAGTTAGATTCAGATTTAAATAGTAACTAACGTGAAGAGTCCTATCATCTAAGTTAGATTCAAATGTAAATAGTAACTAACGTGAAGAGTCCTATCGACTAAGTTAGATTCAGATGTAAATAGTAACTAACGTGAAGAGTCCTATCAACTAAGTTAGATTCAGATGTAAATAGTAACTAACGTGAAGAGTCCTATCGACTAAGTTAGATTCAGATGTAAATAGTAACTAACGTGAAGAGTCCTATCGACTAAGTTAGATTCAAATGTAAATAGTAACTAACGAAGAGTCCTATCTACTAAGTTAGATTCAAATGTAAATAGTAACTAACGTGAAGAGTCCTATCAACTAAGTTAGATTCAGATGTAAATAGTAACTAACGTGAAGAGTCCTATCGACTAAGTTAGATTCAGATGTAAATAGTAACTAACGTGAAGAGTCCTATCGACTAAGTTAGATTCAGATGTAAATAGTAACTAACGTGAAGAGTCCTATCAACTAAGTTAGATTCAAATGTAAATAGTAACTAACGTGAAGAGTCCTATCGACTAAGTTAGATTCAAATGTAAATAGTACCTAACGTGAAGAGTCCTATCAACTAAGTTAGATTCAAATGTAAATAGTAACTAACGTGAAGAGTGCTATCGACTAAGTTAGATTCAAATGTAAATAGTAACTAACGTGAAGAGTCCTATCGACTAAGTTAGATTCAAATGTAAATAGTAACTAGCGTGAAGAGTCCTATCGACTAAGTTAGATTCAGATGAAAAATAGTAACTAACGTGAAGAGTGCTATCAACTAAGTTAGATTCAGATGTAAATAGTAACTAACGTGAAGAGTCCTATCGACTAAGTTAGATTCAAATGTAAACAGTAACTAACGTGAAGAGTCCTATCGACTAAGTTAGATTCAAATGTAAATAGTAACTAACGTGAAGAGTCCTATCAACTAAGTTAGATTCAAATGTAAATAGTAACTAGCGTGAAATGTCCTATCAACTAAGTTAGATTCAGATGTAAATAGTAACTAACGTGAAGAGTCCTATCGACTAAGTTAGATTCAAATGTAAATAGTAACTAACGTGAAGAGTCCTATCGACTAAGTTAGATTCAAATGTAAATAGTAACTAACGTGAAGAGTCCTATCGACTAAGTTAGATTCAGATGAAAAATAGTAACTAACGTGAAGAGTGCTATCAACTAAGTTAGATTCAGATGTAAATAGTAACTAACGTGAAGAGTCCTATCGACTAAGTTAGATTCAGATGTAAATAGTAACTAACGTGAAGAGTCCTATCGACTAAGTTAGATTCAAATGTAAATAGTAACTAGCGTGAAATGTCCTATCAACTAAGTTAGATTCAGATGTAAATAGTAACTAACGTGAAGAGTCCTATCGACTAAGTTAGATTCAGATGTAAATAGTAACTAACGTGAAGAGTCCTATCAACTAAGTTAGATTCAAATGTAAATAGTAACTAACGTGAAGAGTCCTATCGACTAAGTTAGATTCAGATGTAAATAGTAACTAACGTGAAGAGTGCTATCGACTAAGTTAGATTCAAATGTAAATAGTAACTAACGTGAAGAGTCCTATCGACTTAGTTAGATTCAAATGTAAATAGTAACTAACGTGAAGAGTCCTATCGACTAAGTTAGATTCAGATGTAAATAGTAACTAACGTGAAGAGTGCTATCGACTAAGTTAGATTGAAATGTAAATAGTACCTAACGTGAAGAGTCCTATCGACTAAGTTAGATTCAGATGTAAATAGTAACTAACGTGAAGAGTGGTATCAACTAAGTTAGATTCAGATGTAAATAGTAACTAACGTGAAGAGTCCTATAGACTAAGTTAGATTCAAATGTGAATAGTAACTAACGTGAAGAGTGCTATCAACTAAGTTAGATTCAAATGTAAATAGTAACTAACGTGAAGAGTCCTATCAACTAAGTTAGATTCAAATGTAAATAGTAACTAACGTGAAGAGTCCTATCGACTAAGTTAGATTCAGATGTAAATAGTAACTAACGTGAAGAGTGCTATCGACTAAGTTAGATTCAAATGTAAATAGTAACTAACGTGAAGAGTCCTATCGACTAAGTTAGATTCAGATGTAAAAAGTAATTAACGTGAAGAGTCCTATCAACTAAGTTAGATTCAAATGTAAATAGTAACTAACGTGAAGAGTCCTATCGACTAAGTTAGATTCAAATGTAAATAGTAACTAACGTGAAGAGTGCTATCAACTAAGTTAGATTCAAATGTAAATAGTAACTAACGTGAAGAGTGCTATCAACTAAGTTAGATTCAAATGTAAATAGTAACTAGCGTGAAGAGTCCTATCAACTAAGTAAGATTCAAATGTAAATAGTAACTAACGTGAAGAGTCCTATCGACTAAGTTAGATTCAGATGTAAATAGTACCTAACGTAAAGAGTCCTATCAACTAAGTTAGATTCAAATGTAAATAGTAACTAACGTGAAGAGTCCTATCAACTAAGTTAGATTCAGATGTAAATAGTAACTAACGTGAAGAGTCCTATCGACTAAGTTAGATTCAAATGTAAATAGTAACTAACGTGAAGAGTGCTATCAACTAAGTTAGATTGAAATGTAAATAGTAACTAGCGTGAAGAGTCCTATCGCCTAAGTTAGATTCAAATGTAAATAGTAACTAACGTGAAGAGTCCTATCGACTAAGTTAGATTCAAATGTAAATAGTAACTAACGTGAAGAGTCCTATCGACTAAGTTAGATTCAAATGTAAATAGTAACTAACATGAAGAGTCCTATCGACTAAGTTAGATTCAAATGTAAATAGTAACTAACGTGAAGAGTCCTATCGACTAAGTTAGATTCAAATGTAAATAGTAACTAACGTGAAGAGTCCTATCGACTAAGTTAGATTCAAATGTAAATAGTAACTAACGTGAAGAGTCCTATCGACTAAGTTAGATTCAAATGTAAATAGTAACTAACGTGAAGAGTCCTATCAACTAAGTTAGATTCAAATGTAAATAGTAACTAACGTGAAGAGTCCTATCGACTAAGTTAGATTCAGATGTAAATAGTAACTAACGTGAAGAGTCCTATCGACTAAGTTAGATTCAGATGTAAATAGTAACTAACGTGAAGAGTCCTATCGACTAAGTTAGATTCAAATGTAAATAGTAACTAACGTGAAGAGTCCTATCGACTAAGTTAGATTCAAATGTAAATAGTAACTAACGTGAAGAGTCCTATCAACTAAGTTAGATTCAAATGTAAATAGTAACTAACGTGAAGAGTCCTATCGACTAAGTTAGATTCAAATGTAAATAGTAACTAACGTGAAGAGTCCAATCGACTAAGTTAGATTGAAATGTTAATAGTAACTAACGTGAAGAGTCCTATCGACTAAGTTAGATTCAAATGTAAATAGTAACTAACATGAAGAGTCCTATCGACTAAGTTAGATTCAAAT